GCACCTAAGCTTTGCCTTTCAAACCACTGCCGTCTTCTCCTGCTCTTGTCAGCACTTGGAAGACTCTGATTTCCACAAGGGCTCCCACTCTTGTCCTTGTCCAGTCAGGACCTATTTCCAGAACTTCTAAAAGTGTTAGCCCACCCAGAGACCAGGGTTTCCCCAGGGGCTCCACAGTAAAGAACCCGCCTGCCAATGCAGGAGACATGGGTTCAGTCACTGGGTGAGGAAAAATGCCCTGGAGGAGGAAATGGCAACCCACTCTAGTATTCTTGCCTGGAAAAGTCCATGGACAGGGGAGCCTGGCAGACGACAATCCGTGGTGTCACAAGAGTCAGACATGACTGAGCAACTGGGCAGGAGCACCCAGAGACCACAGTGTCAATAATGAAGGCATCTCTCTCTTTCCCCACACCGTGGTCCCCGATTCTGCGATGATTACTTACAGAAGCTTGGGGAGCTCCTGGGGTGAACACGAGGAGGAGGGGGCTCTGCACACATCATCCTACTGAGAAACAAGACCCAAATATGGCTTATGCTCAGCTACTTCCTCACTCAGCTTCAGGGCTTTTCAGGAACAAGCAAATCCAGCCCCCTAAGCTCTAAGGGATGTTGTTAGGCAACAGGAAAGTGTGGTTGTTGTTAGGCAACAGGAAAGGATGGGGCTGGGTACTGGGGAATCAATGGATTTGTAGGATAGCCAGATAGGAACAGCACAGCACATGGCAATGTTTAGAGGAAATCTCTTAGAAAGCAGGTCGCCATCATCCTGATACTGGCACAGTGAAGCTCCAGCTGGAGGGGAGCAAAGGTCTTTTCAGTGGAGGAAAAGCGGCCAGAGTATCGGGGTCACTGTGCAGCCCTCTGTGGGTGAGGAGTGTCCCAGGGAGGAGCAGGAAGAGGGATCTTGAAGCTTCTACTGGAAATAGCCTTGGTCCTGAGGGGTGGAATCAAGTCCCCTATCAGTAATCTTCCACTACAGCCTCAGTTAACCCCCTGACACTTCTCTGTACAAACTGCAGAAACCAAGGCAGTGAATAGCTTAATTAGGAATAGCTTAATATCACACAAAGAAACAAAGATGTATAGAAATGGATTGTAGACATTTTGTCCACCCCCATGCTTCCAACTAGTTCTGCTCGGCTCTATTATCTGCTTTTGTCTCTCACAAAGCCCAAGGGTCTCCGTGCCAGCCTCTGACTCTTTGACCTGGGATCTCACCTCAGACAAACAGGATATTACTCACTAACAGGCTCTCTCATCTCCTGCTTCCCCCAACCCATCCTCCTGATACCCCACCTCCAGCCCCTCCCATCCTGACCCACTCCCTTCTTCCCCTGCTCACTCAATCTGACCCTCACTCTCACTCTTCTTCTCCCCCACACCACCCCACCCACCCTTGGTCTTCCCTGACTCACCTCCAAGTCCCATTGACACAAACAAAAATTTCAGCACAACCCACTCCAACCGGTTTGGCTGAGGTGTGCAGCCTTCCGTGGGGACAGACGCAGGTTACAAGCGGATGCTTGGACACATTAAATAATGAACATCTGAAGTTAGACACACAGAGAAAGCCCTGGGTAGGGACCTACACAGACATGCAGGGAACGTGTGATGGAGGGATCTGGCATGTCATTATGCCTCTGTCTCTCCTAACTGAGGGCTCCTTGAGGCAGGGACCCTGTGTATCACGCATCTCCATCCTCTGCCTGCGGCCTGGCATGAAGAGGTATGCACTGAATGTCTGTTGAATGAACTCAGGCATGCAGGCATGCCTGCAGAGATGCCACTAGGACAATACACATGCTGAGGAGGCCACCTTGACTTGAATTATCCCCATTCTTAGGGCCCAGAATGTGGGTGGGAGGAGGGTAGGTAGTGAAGCATGAGGAGAATGGGGATTCAATGGGGGAGAGAGAACAGAACTCAAGAGACCACGCATTTGTTTGCAGAGTCTTCTCCAAACAGTATTTCCTTCTGCCGCAACCCTGGAATTTGCCTTCTGCAAGCTTCATCTCAGAAGAGTGCAGGCAAGGCCTAAGAATGAGGGCATGTTCCCCAAGAGCATGGCCCATGTGAAATATACAGGACTAAGCACAACGGGCAGGGGGACCTGGAGACAGACCCTCGCTGCAGGAGGAGAAAATCCCTACCTCCAGCAGAGACCTGAAGTTACTTCCTGGCCCAAGTGTTCCCTTTCAGGCCCAGTGGCAGCCTTAGTCCTCCCGCCAAAGCCACCTCTGGTGTTTACTAGGACCTGAACATACCCATGAAAAAACATTTGGCACAGCCTGGCCGGAGCCCAGTGCTCCATATGACTGGAATTGCAGGTGAGTGACTGAGGGTCCTAGACATCTTGACTGGCCACACCATGGATGTACTGTGAATGGAAAAGGTGAAAGAGATATAGGGACTGGGTACCCACCTTGTGATCAAACTGCTTTCCCACCACTGTGCCTCAGTTTCTCCTGGGGTTTCCTGGACCAGGAGGGGTGAATCCGTGGGAAGGAAAGGAGCTCCTCTGAAATCATGCGATAGGATCCGAAGTGTGATAATTATAATTATAACACAGGGTGCTCCTCCCTCTTATTCCCCCTGGCTTTACCCCACCCCTGCTACTGTGGATCTCAAAGCAACATCGGGGTGGGGTTGCTCCCTTGGCACAGGTGAGTCCTGAAGAGGGGAAGGGGTTCACCCAGGCCGAGGTGGAGAGAAACAGGAGCTTTGGCATTCAGCCTGGTCCCCGTGGGAAATAGTTCTCTAAGAAGAGGTCAGTACCATGAACATGGTGAGATCTGGGATCTAGAGTCCTTGGAGGCAGAGTTAAAGTCTGGGTTGCTGACCAGGTTCGGGAGAGTCAGGCTCTCCACTCCGTACCTGACCACCTTTTCTATCCATAACGGCATGCCTTCAACAAAAATGCATCCGGTCCCCGTTAAGTGCTGTGGACTGTGCTAGCATGGATGGTTGAGACAAGATTACAAAACAAGCCTGACTTTCCAGGAGTTCACAGACTACAGTTCTCATCCTGTCCCTCATTTAACACATTTGCTGAATCCTTGGCACACAGCAGGCTTCAATCGATGCTTCTTGAATTGAAGCTTACAATTTAGTTAAGGAGATAAGATGTGCACAAATTATGAGTACGCAAGCTATAATAAAGGGCCTAGCAGAGGCTGAGGAAGAACAGAAGGGAGAAAGATTAATTTTAGGTGGGAGGAACTGAGAAGGCTTCATGGAAAATGTGGCATTTGAGGTCAGCTTTGAAAGATGAGTAAGATTTTGACAGGTAGAATCAGGAGTGTGTGTGTGTAAAATATTCTACATGAAATGACCCCCACCCCAAAAGGATCCTGGTGCAAGATTTTAACCCATATGTATTCCCTCCTCTCTCCTGTCTACCTGTATATATGTATATATATAAGCTCCAGTATGTAAATGATCCGGAGAAGGCAATGGCACCCCACTCCAGTACTCTTGCCTGGAAAATCCCATGGACGGAGGAGCCTGGTGGGCTGCCATCTATGGGGTCGCACAGAGTCGGACACGACTGAAGCGACTTAGCAGCAGCAGCAGCAGCAGCATGTCAGTGATCTTGCTCCTTCCCTTCCCTTAGTTTTCAGGGAGTTGAGTTTGGCCCCTTCTCTGACTATCCCAGATAGGTCAGTAAGGCTTTGTGTAACTTGGCAGTTACATTATAGGTAACATGGGAACAGATGGTATAACCAGTAAGAGTATACTTATAGGAATACAAGGACAGAGCATTTGAAATCGATTGTCCTTGCAAAGTCCAGACATGTGACTTTGTTCAATAACCATGGGATAAATGGTTAAAGCGACCACAGAGATGGTGGAAAGGAGCCCCTTTCCGCTCAGGTAGTGCTGGTGCAGTGCGGGGACTCCTGACCAGCAGGGAGAAGGTGATGCTAAGGGAGACTCCTGCTAGGGAGGCCAGCAATCTGTGGGGTTAATGCTTTGGTCAATCCCTTGACTTCTCCAATGTCAGGGGGGAGCCTTTGGGGAGGGGGTCACTTAAGTTTCTTCTGAGGGGTCCCTGGGGCTTCTTCCCCAGTGGCTCAGATGGTAAAGAACTGCCTGCAATGCAGAAACCTGGGTGTGATCCCTGAGTTGGGAAGATCCCCAGGAGAAGGGAATGGCTACCAGCATTCTTGCCTTTGATCTAACTCCCTGCCTCAGAGGTAGCGCTGTCTCATACTGCCTAAGCTGTGTCCCCCAGCAAGCCCCTTCCCCACTCTGGGCCTCTGCGTTCTAATCCGGCGGATGAGGTGTTTGGGTGGTACTGTCCTCTGTTCTGGTCCTCTCTGATTCTGGCTCCAAAGCTGAGCCCCCCTGGGAAGTTGGGGAACTCAGCACAGCCCAAGGGAAGGCAGCAAGACCGGCCGGGGTGCGGGACTACTGGCTGGCTTTCCACCCACAGGGGCCTTGCCCTGGTTCCTCCTGGCCAGGTGCCTCCCTCTTTGAGCCACCCTGGGCCTTTCCTGCCCCTCCCCCCCACCCGGCCCCTCCCGTCACAGCCCCTTCCACACACTGCCAGGTAAAGCCTGCAGCTGATGATGGGATCCCACACCCCCCAGGTCCTTCCCTCATTCCCTCCCTCTCTGGCGCCCATTAGCCAGCCCGGGCCGTGGGGGCGGCGGCTGCCTAGACTCCGTGCCAGGCCCAGCCCCCGGAGACGCACCTGTTCTGACCTGCTGAGCAGGTTCCCAAGTTTCTGCCTTCGTTGTTGGCCACGGCGTGGGAAGCAGCTCTGGGGGAGCTCGGAGCTCCCGATCACGGCTTCTTGGGGGTAGCTACAGCTGGGTGGGTGGAAGGGGGCAGGGTCCCCTAGCGGAGACCCCAGTGGGGTAGGCAGGTGCGTCCCTGCCCGAGGACTCTGTGACTGCCTACCGTCTGGGTCGGTCCCTCTCCAGCTCTCCAGCGGCTCCCAGGGAGAACTCGGTGGACCTTCAGGATCACTGGGCAGCTCTGCCTCCCGACCAATGCCTCTGTCCCTGGGAGCCGGGATGTGGGGTCCTGAGGCCTGGCTGCTGCTGCTGCTCCTGGCGTCATTTACAGGTAGGACTTGCTTCAGGACCCTCGTTTCTGAGCCCAAGCCGACCAGGCGCGCGCGCGCACACACACACACACACACACTCCCTTTCCTGTATCTGAGCTGAGGAATGAACCTCCCTCTCACATCTCCAGCTGATACCAGCGCCCTCAGGAGAGCCACTGGGGCTCTTCTGTTTCATGGCTTTTTCCAGCCCCAGGCCAGGTCTCTGGACCTGGGCTCCCTGACCGCCTTCTCCAAAAGGCTGGAGCTGCCTCTGGGGGAAGAGATGTGGTGATCCAGTGCAGGTGGCCAGCGAGGTGGAACTGGTGGGGACCCTTTCACCCCAGGGTTTCCTGGAGACTCCCTCGCCTACCTGCTGGGCTTCAGAATTGCTGACTGGGGCTGCAGCTGACTCAGGGTTGAGCTGGTTTCCCCAGTCATCAGGGTGTAGGAAGCCTGATGTCCAGAGAATGGACAGGGTCTTTCTATCACCTCCTCTCTCCATGATGTCGTAGAATACCAGTTCTGTGGCACCTGTTGGGGGGGCTGTTGGGGAGCTGGAAGCTCTTTTCACTCTGGCCCCCTCTGTCTCTGAGCACATTATGAGGGGTGCTATTCCAAAGAAATACAGCTACTTCCATGTGGGGGGTCTAGAGTAGGGCACCTTCTAGACAGGGCGTGGTCCTCTTTTCTTTATCCCTCGTTGTCCTATTTTCTCAACTAGATGTCTTGTATCACTCCTGTCTAGCACTATGTACAGAAGATTAGAAATTATAGGAATTTATAATCTTCAGAGTGGGGGAGAGAATGTGTGTGTGTGTGTGTGTGTGTAAGTGTGCGTATGCAAATGGACCAGGGTAGGATTCCTTAGGCTGTTCCCAAGGTAATAGACAACTGAGAAATCTTCCTCCTTAGAAAGACAGGGCCTCACCTACATGCAACAGTTTGATTCCAAGTCCCAGGAGCAGTGGTGAAGGAGCCGCAGTTGCCCAGCAGTGATTTTCCCCAACCTCCATCCCCACCTAAAGCTGTCAGGAGGGGAGTCAGACCTAAATGTGTGGATGAGTAGGGGCTGCTCTTGCTCTGATCTGCTAATAGAAGGGTCGTTGGCCCAGCCTCCAGCTCCAGGATACTGAGCTCCAAGCCCTGCCATCTCTCCCCACACCCCCCATCTTAATTCCCATCTTCCAGACAACCCTTCTCACTTACTTAGGCCAAGAGGGTGGGGCCTGGTTGCTGGGGCCAGGGAACATGGCAGTCACTTTCCTGTAGGATCTACCCACACCTAAAGGATCTACCCACACCTAGAGAGTGGAGCCATGATGTCTCGGGACTCGGAAGGGATCAAAGAGATCCAACTCCCTCAGGGAAGTTTCCAGGGAAAACTGAAAGAAATAGAAAGTCCAGCGCGATCTCAAGATTACTCAGTGTTAGAAGCATAATCGGGGTTAGCGTCTTGGTCTTCCAACTCTTAATTCATCACAGCATAGTACCTCTGAGTACTCACTGGGGATAGCCAGGGCACTGGATGCTGGAGACAGTTAGCAAGACATAGTCCCTGCCTTCTTTTTTCAGGACGCAAAGCTGTTCTTTCTCAGAGAAGCCCATGGAAGGGAGAGGAGACCCCTTCTAGTTAGGGTATCACCCCACCCTTGTCCGGTGCCTGATGGACGGGTGCCATGGCCAGGGAGGCAGCCTGGCTCCAGGGAAGCTGGCACCCAGGGAGCCACACTCAGCGGCTGTAGCCTGCAGAGTGATCTGAGGGCCGGAAGTCAGACCCCAGGTTCCCACCTTACTGCCCACCCCCGTTCTGGCTCCCCTGGGAGGCATCTCCTCAATGGCCCCCAGGAAACTGGAGTGTTCTTGTCTCTGAGAAAGCCTTGGACAGGAATCTTGGGAAGTCAGGAGTTTTGGGTTCTGGCCCCATTTCTGCAGTTAACTGGTTACATGACCTTGGGCAACTAAGAATCTAGACTTCAGGAGACCAGGAGGTAGGACCAGATGATCTACATGGGCCTTCCAGCTCTGAGAGCCTGTGGCTGTGTGGATGTCCGGGCCCTGACTGAAGGAGGGTGCTGGGTGCTGGAAGAGGCGGTGCGGCCGGCTGCGTTGACAGACGGGGGGAAAGGTCCTGGCCCCCTTTCTCAGCGGGACCAGGGGTAGCTTTACCCTGGACACTGCCTTCCGCCCCTGCAATGCTGCAGGTTTGTGCCCCCACCAAGTCCTGGGCCATTAGCGCTCTGCGCCCCAGGGCCCTGCCCCACCCCTGTTAGGGAGAGGAGCCCAGGTTGGGGAGGCACCCCGACACCCCAGCTCTTTGTCTCTCCTTAACGGGGTGAGTTTCCAGGTGAGGCCTCCTCCCTGCTCCTTCCCATCTCCTGCCCTGGGCTGAGGGGCCCCACTCTGTAGATACCCTGCCAGTAGGGCCTGGTTCCTAACCTTTGCTTGCGCCCAGCTGAGCCCTGCAGGACCCCAGAGAACACACGCTTCTCTGAATTCCAAAGTCTGGCCTCTGAGGGTTAGGATCAGCTTTCTGTCTGAAGTTCGTTTTCTAGAAAGGGAAGGACCCCATCCCTGCGTCTCTACTCCTATTTAGAGCGGTGGGGGCAGGCCCCTTTCTGAAGGATCTACCCAGACCCCAGGGGAAGCCCAGAAAGGAAGGCAAGCTTCCCTGCCCAAGGTGGGGAGCTCTAGGAGGATCCCAGGGAAGCCCTGTGGCCCCCAGGGACCTTGGTCCAACCCCAGTGTTTCACAGAGCTGGGCCAAGGGGACCCCAGCCACAGAGATGGCAGTAAGGGATTCATAGTAGATCCACGGTTCCAGCCCCTAGACCTCAGCCTCGGGAGCCTGGGGCCCTCCAGGCAAAGTGAAGGGAGGTCAGCCACGCTGGGAGCAAGCCTAGTGAAGAGAGAATGCCTGGGCTTTCTGGCCTCTTAAACTTGCCCTTCTGCTGACCAAAGTCTAGGCAGACAGAAGGGATGGGGTGGGGTGGAGAGCTGAGTCAGGAGGGAAGGGAGGAGAGAAGCCTAGGGGCTGAATCTGGGAACAGAATCTAAACGGAGAAGGTCAAGTTCAGAACTGGGGTCCAGCCACAGAGCCGGAGGAGGAGAGCTCTGCCTGAGGGGGAGGGGACAACATCAGTCTTTGACTGGACGGGGAGCCTCAGGCTTCAGACGCTTTCCCCACGGTTCTCAGGCCACCCCCCCCCCCCCCCCCCGCCTTTAAAACTGGTTGGCTGTCCTGAGAGCTGGGTTGAGGCTGTGATTTGGGGTGGGGCAGAGCTGGCCACACTTGCAGAGGTGGGGGAAGGGGTGGCTGGCTGGCAGGATTGGGGAGGGGGTTAGGATCTCAGGGGTTTGGGAGAAGTTGAATTCTGGGTCTCCCACCCACAGTGTGGCTGTTGTGGTGACTCAGCCAGGCTCAGACTCTGGCTCCGGGGGGTTTAGGGGACTTATCTGTGCTGGGAGCCGTGTCTGGGCCGGAGCCGGGGCTGCCTCAAGGCCTGTCCTCCCCCATTGTTCTCACCTCCCTTTGTGATTGGTGTGGCCCCCCTCCCCAGACACTAATCTGTGGTGGGCGCTTTGCCCGGGTTGGGAAGCTCTCACTAAGCTGAGGGGCTTAGGACAATGGAGGGTAAGTGAGGGAGGTGGAGGAAGGCAGGGAGAGAATCTGCTGGTTTTCAAAGTTCCTTAGCACTCCAAGGCCAAGGTTATGGAGGGAGGGGGAAGGATGGAAGGTAAAAAAGTTGGCTTGTTTATATCACCTGTCCTGAATAGGGGTCTTCAGGGGTCCCTTCCCAGGTCCTTTCTTACCCCAAACTCACCCACACATTCCAGCTCTTTCTTGGGGAGGCTGCTGCTGTGGGGTGAGGGGAGGCAAGAGTTAACAAAGGAGAATGAGACCCTAGACAGCTCAGCCCCCCTTCCCCCAGCCCCAGGTAGGATCCCCCTCCTTCCCTCCAAACCTCCAGCAGACAACCCTCACCCCAGGCCTGCAGCGAGAGCTGGTTTTTCTGGTGGTGGCAGCAGCAGAGACCTGACAGAGATTCCCAGGGAGAGGCCTCTTTGAGGGGCCAGAGGTGCTGGGGGGTGTGACTGGGGGGGGGCTGAGAAAGGTGGGGGTCCTTCCAGTAGGAACCTGAGGAGCAAGGGTTTTGTTCTGTGGGGTAGTCCTTGATGACAATTTCCCATCACCCCAGAGGGACAGTGACTTCATCTCTGGGTCCCTCTGCCTGAGATAAATCTGCCTCAATTCTGGGGGGAGGAAGGGAAGAGTGCCTGGGCGCCACTCCAGTGGGTGCAGAGACAAAGGCCCCGAGCCACACACCACTGACCAAAGGCAGCTGAGACAGACAACTATGCGGAAGCGAAGAGAAACCAACGTCAAAATATTTACTATGTGTGCACATTCATATACATGCCTTTCCATGGCTGGCTCTGATGCTGACAAGCACACATGCACTCCTGAAGAGAAAAAATGGACACATATGTGGGAAACACCCCCAAGTTCATGCAGAGAGGCAGCCTCTCCTGCATGTGAGCCAGCACTGAGACTCACCAGGCCCTCACCCCAAGATGTACATGCAGACACACAGAGTCTCCCTTCCTCTCACACTGACTCCCTTCCTCCTCCTCACGGACCCACCTCTAGGACCCCACTGTGTGCCCCTAGATGCACTAGCGGTGGATAATGTCGGAGAAAGCTCCGCAGAAAGAAAAGCCTCCTGCCTGAGAGATGCTGTCATCTGCCACTGCCAGCCTCAGTTTCCCCTCCAGAGATCAAGAGGCCAGGCCTTGCACAGACAGGAAAGTTGGGGCCCAGGCACAGGGTAGGGAGAAGGCAGCCAGCCCAGGACAGGAATGGAGGGCCTGTCTGGGAGCAGGAGGGGTACACAGAGGGCAGGGCCCCAAAGAGGCCCGTGGGGGCCTGGCCGGGGTGGGGGAGGACAAGGGCAGGGATCCCGTCCGGCCAGTTGGGCCTGTTCTCCGCCTTGCGCAAGGTGGCGGCTGGTGGCGGCTGTGGCTAGGCTGGCTGTGCAGCGGCTGAATCACCAAGGCTCCTGACCAGCGTCCTGGTGCTCCCGGGAGGAGAGGAGGGGAGGGTCAGAGGGAGGAGCGCTCAGCCAGCAGAGTCCACCAGCCTCAGCAAACAGTCTGCAGCAGAGGGTCCGTGGGCTTGGCCTGGCCACTACATGCCCGCAGGGTGACCTCACCAGGCAGGCGGTGTGTCTCCTCTGCTCTGGTGACATCATCATGCTGACGCCGGGCGGGCACTGGGTGGGGGAGAGAGGGAGGAGGCAGTCCTGGTCTGCCCTACCCTGGGAGTCTCAGCTTCTGGGTCTACCTACTGAGCCCAAGTTCTCTTTTCCTTCCCTTGCAGCCTGTGTGTGTGTGTGTGTGTGTGTGTGTGTGTGTAAGTGAAGGAGGGTGTTGCTCAAGCTGAGATGCTCCCAGTAAATAGTGAATTTAGGACAATGGGAGATGTGGGAGAGACCCAGAAGGGACTTTCCAGTTTTGCTGGGTTCCTCATCCTGCAAAGTTCGGGTTTGTCACTTGGTATCATGGGGATCATGGAGCCACAGGTAGGGATGTTGAGGATGGACTCAGACATGTCCTAGGGACTCAATGCATGTTGTACTCTAAGAAGGTATTTTTGGTGGGGAAATGTGATCAGTGGTAGGGAGGGGCCAGTTGGTTGACAAGTATAGGAGTGAGGATGTCATCTGACATTGTTCCAGAAATAGGCTTTGGAAGGGTTTGAGTGTCTCCCAGTGGAACAGGGCTTGGATTCCCTGTGACCTGCATGGACACTGGGATTAGAAGCAGAGGAAGTACCAGGAAGCCCCAGTCTCAAGCCCACCTTCAGCCCTTCCTTGGCAGCCCTGCTCCCTCTGGTGCTAGGAGGAGGTGCCTGGGAGGGGTGACAGGTGGTTAGCCGGACTCCTTGGCTGGGCTGGGTGGGACCAACATCAGCTTAGGCAGGTCAGGGCCCTGGTATCTGGCCCTGCAGGTCTGTCTCGTCCCATTCGGGCCCTCCCGGCTCCCAACAGCATCCTCCCTTCCTCTTCCGTTTGCAAGGCCGTGGGACCCCCTTCCTCTGCCCCATGCTCTGCCTCACGGGAACCCTCTTGCCACTTTAGTGGGGCTTCACTTTCTCCCTCCATGTCTGATTCCCTCCACCCCCTACTTTCACCCTAGGTCCAGTCTGGAGGTACTCCCTTTGGCAGAGAACCCAGCTAGCCAGCCTATTGGGTCTCCACCCTAAGGTTGCCATACCAACCCCCTCCCTGCCCAGCCCAACCAAAGACTGCACATTCCTCCTTGTTCTACCCTTTCCTTCTTCTGCCTGTCTCTCACATTCATTCATTCACCCACTCATTCACTCATTCAATCAGTCAATAAAGAATAATTGAGTACCAATTATATGCCAGGAATGCAGACCACCAAGCACTGAATCAGAAACCATGTTTCCATATGGGATGTGAGATCCAGTTTATACTCGTGAGGTTCTCAGTCTGGTGGAAGAGGCAGACGAGAAAATAGCAAATACAATCTGTGGTATCAACAAATACAGTCTGTGATGGGTCAAGGCAGGATGCTAGAGGGAGAACATAGGGAGGGCACCTCACCCTGCCTCAGGTGGGGGTGGGGGAAGGGAGGGCTCCGGGAGGAAGTGATGTCTAAGCAGAGTCTTTAAGGATGAGTAGGAGTGACCCAGACAGTGATGAGTAGGAGCTACCAGACATAGGGAGGAGGGCGTTCCAGGCAGGATCACAGTATGAGCAAGGTGAAGGCCAGCAGGGTGTGTGAAGTGCTGGCCAGAGGTAGGAGCTTTGAACTTTTGGGAATTACTGGACATGCATTCCCAGGCAAGGAGCTCTCACCATCCCAGAGAGCCTTCATTCTGCGCCCCCAGCCCTATGTTTCAGACACTTTATTCCACAACCTCAAATTTCTTTCTTCTCAGCCTCGAGCTTCTCTGGCCCTGTCTCCCTCATAAGTTACTCATCCTAGAAACCCAGGAGTTGTCTTTGAGTCTTTCCTCTTTCTGGTCAGTGACCAAATCCTGCCAAGCTTCCCCGGGAACGGTCCCCTTCTCTTGGCAGCCCAGTGCAGGATGGCAGCAGCAGGGCCCTGGTGTGTCTCCTGCCCTCAGCCTCTCTCCTTTCCAGTCAGAGGACACATGGCCACTGGCTTAATGCTTTAGCGACTCCTTATTTCCGCTGGCCAAATCTGAATTCCTTTGCCTGGTGTGGAAGGTCCTGGATGGTTTTGCTGTGACCAGATGCCCCACTCCCACTCAACACACACTCCTTGCCTTAGTTGTGTCCTCTCCTCTTGGCTTCCTGAACCAGTCAGACTCTCCACCTCCCTGGGGTTTGCCCAGCTTGTGCCCTTACCTGGAACCTCTTTCCAGGTCTCACCTTCTCCTGATTCTACCCACCTCATACATGAGGCCCTCCTACCTGAGTCAGGACCACTGTGAGTAGCCTATCCCATAACTAACCTGCAACACACCACTAACCACTAAATAAGAAACCATCACACGTATTTACATAGATGTTTCCATACATATCTTCCCCAAAAGAATTCAGATTCTATAAATGCAGGCCATGCATCCTTCTTTGCTGATAAGGCTACATGATAGATCCCCCTGAGGGCTTCATGCTGCTTCTTATCAATGCACAGAACACTCACTTTTTATCCCTGGTCCCCACCTCCAGTCCTCTGCTTCTGGCTCATGGTTCTAACCCTGTTGCTGCGTGTCTGTCCTGACCTCTTCTCTCTGGGCCTCTGACCCTGGGCCTTTCAGTCTTTGGTGACTTGCTCATTCCTGTCTCTGTCTCGGTTCATGCCATTCTTCCCACATAGCATACCTTCTTCTCTCTGGGAACCCAGGCCTCTCATCCTCTCATCTTCAAGTCATGAAAAGAATGTTCTGAAAGGCCTGTTGGGATGGACCCTTCCTACACCATGTGCTGCATCCCAGACACCAACTCTTCTCAACCCTTGCCTTAGCTCCTGGTCACTTTCTGGAAGCATTCTCTTTCCCTCTCTTGGTAGGTTAAGCCTTCTGTGAAAGTCTGTCCATGGCTTCCAGGTCTTTGTGGCACAAAATCCATTTCCCTGAGCTCCCAGAGGGCGGAGGCTGGGTCTCTTCTGCTATAGCTGCCCACCTTACAATTGCTCAGGATAGGATCCAGGGCTGAGAGAGGGTGTGACTCTTCCATATACCATCTGTGTGGCCTTAGGCAAGTCACTTCCTTTCTCTGGGTCTCAGTTTCCTCATCTGTTAAAGGGTGATAATAACGCCTACCTCTTGGGAATGGTTTCTGGATCTAATGAGGTAATGGACTGAACGCGCTTTGCAAGCATAAATCGCTCCAGGAGTTCTGGGCTGCCTTTGCTGACATTATCATTATGAATAAATGTTCCCCAGCTCTGGCAGCGACCCTAACCCTGGCTGCTTCTGTCTGCCCTCTGCAGGTCAGTGCCTTGCTGGTGAGCTGGAGACCGCGGACCTGGTGACCGTGGTGTTGGGCCAGGATGCCAAGCTGCCCTGCTTCTACCGAGGGGATCCGGGCGAGCAGGTGGAGCAGGTGGCATGGGCTCGCGTGGATGCGGGCGAGGGTGGCCGGGAACTGGCACTGCTGAACTCCAAATACGGGCTGCACGTGAGCTCAGCCTACGAGGGCCGCGTGGAACAGCCGCCGCCCCCACGGAACCCCCTGGATGGCGCGCTACTGCTGCGCAATGCGGTGCAGGCTGACGAGGGCGAGTACGAGTGTCGCGTCAGCACCTTCCCTGCCGGAAGCTTCCAGGCGCGGCTGCGGCTCCGCGTTCTGGGTGAGTGAGGCCAGCTGCCAGAGGTGCCAGAACCTCAGGCCCTGGGTCTGGGAGGGCAGAGCCAGAGGCAGGGGGATGCAGAGATGAATGGGGTGGGGTTGGGACAGGAAGAGGTGGGGTCCTGTGGGACTGAGAGAGCTTCATTTAGCCCACCCAACCCCCACCCCAATCCAGAAATTCTTTGCAGGTGACCCCAAATGATTGATACGGCTTGATCAGCCTTGGGGAAGAATCTGTTTATTAGGCTGGTCCTCCTTCTGTGGACCTGAAATCTCCCTCTTGGCTACTTTCGCCCTCTCCAGCGAGATGACACAGCCTTCTCTCTTCTGCACAACAGCCTTTCCACTAGATGTGGAGCTCTGCCATGCCCCACTCAAATCTCTCCTTCAAGCTAAATTTACTAGGTTCTACAACAGTTCTCCCAGAGACACTTATTCAGAGCCTCCCTCATCCTCCCGGGCTCCATTTAAAGTGCTGGGCCTAGACATGGACACACAGGCCCAGCTCTGACCAGAGTGGCTGTGCACGGCCAGTGGGGCTAATGCCTCCCCTGATCCTGACCTTCCGTGAACGCGGTTGGAAGCCACAACTGCCTTGTAAACCGCCACTCGGCACTGTGGGCTCTCGTGGTCAACAGAAGTCCTGGACTTATGGTCAAGTCAAGTCTTTTCCATTCTGGGCTTGGACTGTTAATGTTATGAAAATGAAAATAAAGACCTTTATAGTTTTCCTTTATCCACATGGAATTTAGTAATACCAGCCGTGGTAGAAAAACCTGAGTGTGAATCTTGGCTTGACCACCCCATAGCTAATGATCTGGAATGAATCATTTAACCTCCCTGAGCTTCAGTTTCTTCAGCTTTAGAATAGGGATAATAATACCTACTTCATGTTTGTTGATGAGAATAAAAGAAATAACATTTGTTAAGTGTTGAGTACAGTGCTGGGCACATAGTAAGTGCTTTAAAAATGGTGGCTATTATTATTATTATAATATGGATGTTATCTGGTTAGATTTTAAATTATGTCATTATTTTTATTAAAAAAATGACCCATACTCATTGTAAATAATTCAAACAGTGGAGAGAGGTACAAAGTCAGTTGAAATTCTGCCACTCATTTGACATCTCTGTTGATAATATAAAAGAAGAAAAAGCTAGACTGAACTGGGATGGGGTAGGGCCTCCTAACAGGGGTTGTGAAGATGGTGATCTCCACCTCCCCTCATCTGCAGTGCCTCCCTTGCCCTCGCTGAATCCTGGTCCGGCGCTGGAAGAGGGCCAGGGCCTGACCCTGGCAGCCTCCTGCACGGCAGAGGGCAGCCCGGCCCCCAGCGTCACCTGGGACACAGAGGTCAAGGGCACAACATCCCACCGCTCCTTCACACACTCCCGCTCAGCGGCCGTCACTTCAGAATTCCATCTGGTGCCCAGCCGCAGCATGAATGGACAGCCACTTACCTGTGTGGTGTCCCACCCTGGCCTGCTCCAGGACCAACGGATCACCCACATCCTCCAAGTGGCCTGTGAGTACTTGGGTAGGGCACCCCCATGGGCTCCAGGAAGACTGGTGAGATACTGAGAGACCCTGAGGTCCCGCAGTTTGGCCAGCCTGGATCCTGCAGGTCCTGCAGTGTGGCCAAGAGAGCACTAGTCCAAGGTGTGAGACCTGGAGCCCATCCCAGATGACCTTGGCAAATCACTCTGACCTTCAGGGCCCTCCTGTTTACCAAGGAGCTTGCCCTGTTTTTCAGGTTTCAGGGAGGTCAGATATAAATATGGAATGGAAAGAATTTTGTGAAATAGTTTAGGATTTGAAGACAGATGGACTTGGAATGCACCCTAGTTCTTTACCAGCTGTTATTCAGTCAAGATTCATTTTCTTCATTAGCAGGAGAGTAATTATATCAACTTTACAGCGTTCTGATGGGAATAGAAACCACACATGCAAAGCCTCTCACACGGTGCTTAGTGTAGGGATGCTGCCAGGTCAATGGCAGATACTTTTTTCCTGGCATTAGACTTTGAGCCTCTGTGAGGGATGGCACTGTTTTCCACTCATACTAACACTGCATTTGGCACAAAGTAGGTCCTCAACAGATGTTTGTTAAAGAAAGGAACGAGCTGGAAATTCCCTGGTGGTCCGTGGTTAGGACTGCATGATTTCCCTGCCGAGGACCTGGGTTCGATCCCTGATCTGGGGAAGTAAGATCCTGCAAGCTGTGCTGCACAGTCAGGGGAAAAAAAGAAAAAAGAAATGAAGGAACCAGGAGGATGGTTAAACCTTTGAAGAGTCAGGAAGGGGTTTTGTGAGCACCTGTTCTGTGACTAGCACTATGCTAGGGACCACAGGGGGTTCAAACGGTGTTGCCACAGTGCTATGCAGAGGAATGTATAGGCTCATTGCACAGGTAAACCAGCGAGGACTCTCTGAACTCAGGGGAGGGAGCTGTCAGCACAGCGGGGCTGGGCTAGGTTGGGCCACAGATGGGCAGGCTGGGGAAGGGCAGGGAGAGGCCATTCCAGGCAGGGTGAGGCCTGGGACCGGGCTTCTCTGAGGAAGAGCATCACTCCCATTCTCTCTCCTCCCACCTTTCATTCCAGTCCTTGCGGAAGCCTCTGTGAGGGGCCTTGAAGACCGAAAGCTGTGGCAGGTTGGCAGAGAAGGGGCTGTGCTCAAGTGCCTGAGTGAAGGGCAGCCCCCTCCCTCGTACAACTGGACGCGGTAAGGGCCGAGCTTGAGACTGGGATCCTTCCCTCAGGACCAACACATACTCATTATGAACTGGGACGATATACTCTGAACCCCGGATAAATTGGGGCACATGTTCAGACCAATACAAGAATATGCATGGTCACCAAACATTATTACTGGCTTACACCAGGGAGTGTGGGATACATGGTGATGAGTAGGGAGTTAGCTAATAAGTGCTTGGCTTTTTTCCTTAACTTTAAAATTATGGAATATAATACAGTATTTAAATGCTAACACTTTTTATGTAAGTGCCTGGAGTGGATAAGACAAAAAGATACAGCTGACTGTGACTGTTGTTAAAGCAACACTTTTATAACCACTGTCACATTGCCAGCACCTTGGAAGCACCCTCCCATCTCTGCTAGTGCGTTGGCTTTTTTCCAGGGTCTGAGATGTCCAGAGAGTCAGGGAGGGGGTCAGGGGCACATGTGTGTGAGCCCATGACAGGCATGCTCTCACATGTGGGCAGATGAGCCGTGTGTGTGGCCTTGTGCCTGGGTTCTGTTCATGTAGCCTGCCATGCAGTGTCATGGGTATTGGGGCACACAGTCATGTTTTCCAAGTACATCTGAGCCCAGATAGGAGTGGAAAGTCCTGTCGTATGGACTTCTTACCATGTGGACCTGGTACTTGGTGCTGGATGACGTGATGCCTGTAGGAGCATGTGAGACGGTGTGCGTGTGGATCTTCCCCGAGTGTGTGTGGGGGTGCCCAGGTCAGGCTGGGCGGCAGGGAGAAGGGGCCTCTGCCTAGACCTGCCTGAAGGAGGGAGGGGCACCGTGGGAACAGCCGGTGGCTCTGGGTGACGTCATGGGGGAGGGCGGTGGAGAGCTGCCCGGGCACGTTGGATGGTGGCAGCCTCAGCCCGCCCTGGCCGGTGCCCATCAGCTCCCCTGTCCTCCAGGCTGGACGGGCCCCTGCCCAGTGGGGTACGAGCAGAAGGAGACACCCTGGGCTTCCCCACGCTGACCACTGACCACAGCGGCACATACGTCTGCCATGTCAGCAATGAGCTCTCCTCAAGGGATGCTCAGGTGGTGGTGGATGTTCTTGGTAAGCACTGGGGCAAAGGCTGGGACCTAGGCGGGGGGCCTGGCGGGGGGCAACGGGGAGCAAGGCCGAGAGTGAGCTGGGAGAGTGTTTATTTGGAGGGGGCGGCACTACATGTATTTCGCAGAGGGTCAGGCCGAGGTGGTGGCTTGGGATGTGTTTTGAGGACAGAGTGGGGTGGGCCGGAGAGCGGGAAGTCTGCCTTAGGCCGTGGTCTGTCTCCGGCAGGCCCCGCAGACGCCCCGGGGAAGCAGGTGGATGTGGTGTCGGCCTCCGTGGTGGTGGTGGGTGTGATCGCCGCGCTCCTGTTCTGCCTTCTGGTGGCGGTGGTGGTGCTCATGTCCCGATACCATCGGCGCAAGGCCCAGCAGATGACCCAGAAATAGTGAGTACTGGCCACCCTGGGTGGTGAGGTCAGCAGGCAGCAAAGAGGAGACAAGCGGGAGGTGGGCCGGGACGGAGGAGCGAGAGGAGGCGGGGTGGCCCAGCATCTGAGAGCTTGTGGGCCAGAGGCAGGCAGAGCCTCCCGGGAAGTGAGAGAGGCCTTGGGGCCTGGACCGCAGCTGGGTTGAGGGGGGCCACGCCGCCTGAGTGAGGGCAGACCCCTATGCCAGGGGCCACAGGCACGGGCACATACACGACACAGGGCGCACACGTTCTGCAGCCACGCCACCACCTGTAGCCACGTCCTCACACTTGCAGGGACAGCCTAGTGCCCACACCCTCCTGCCCCAGCTCACAGAGGCGCCGCCGGGCTAGGTTCACCTTGGGGGGCTCCCACTACCCTCAGCTCCTGACGAGGGGTGTCTTCCCAGTGAGGAGGAGCTGACCCTGACCAGGGAGAACTCCATCCGGAGGCTGCATTCCCACCACTCGGACCCCAGAAACCAGGTGTGTGTGCCAGGGTCGGGTGTGCTCGTGGGGCCGGGGCCCCTCTGCAGGTCCGGAGCGTAGGAGGGTTGCACTGGGGGGAGGTGGGGGGTGGGGCAGAGCTTCTTTGGGTCTGCTGGCTCCTTTAGAAAGCCCTTTTCATCACTGTCCTTGAGGTCACTCTGGGAAGCCATCATTAGCGCTGGTTTCAGGGTGGGATCAAGGTCAGGGTGGGGGGAAATGAGGATGTCTGTGTGCAGGAGAGCATGGACAGGTGGGGGTGGGGGAAGGTGATTAGGGAGGAGCCTGGGGGAGGACATAGGTGAAGAGGCTGAAGGGAGGAGCCTGAGCCCTGTTCTGACTCCTCCCCCGTGTCCGGGCCCTACAGCCGGAGGAGAGTGTAGGGCTGAGAGCCGAGGGCCACCCTGATAGTCTCAAGGACAACAGTAGCTGCTCTGTGATGGTGAGGCCCCCGGCCCCACCGGTGTCCCCACCACTCTCCTCAGGCCCCTCTCCTGGCCCCAGATGTGGTGCGTCAGCAGCCCCTCCGCCAGCCCTCTTGCCTGAGACTCACGCTGCCCACCTGCCTCCCCCAACACCCCCAGCTCTGCCTTTATGCCTTCGTTCTCTAGTCCCCCCTTCCCCACACCTAACATTCATTCCTGGCGCCCATCTCTGAGCTGCTGAGCAACCATAACCCCTGCTTGTGCCTGACCTCTGACCCCACCGTGCCCCAACCAGCCCCCTCGCGTGTGACCACCCCACCCAGGCTCCTGACTCACCCTCTGCCCTTGGTCTCCAGAGTGAAGAGCCGGAGGGCCGCAGTTACTCCACACTGACCACAGTGAGGGAGATTGAAACGCAGACTGAGCTGCTGTCTCCAGGCTCTGGGCGGGCAGAGGAGGAGGAAGATCGGGATGAAGGCATCAAGCAGGCCATGAACCATTTTGTTCAGGAGAACGGGACCCTGCGGGCCAAGCCCACGGGCAATGGCATCTACATCAACGGGCGGGGGCATCTGGTCTGACCCAGGCTTGCCTCCGTCCCCTAAGCCTGGCTCCCTCTGCTGACAGGGAAGCCTTCAGCTCATCCCCAGGGGGGCCTCCCTACACACTCTTTTCTTGAGGAAGATGCTCCCCACCCCACTGACTGCTTGGTCTCCGGTCCTTCCCGTCCTCCCGTTGGATACTGGAAGGGCGCTACTGGTTGAGTCCCTCCAATGGTGTGTGCATGTGTGCTTGTTTGAGTGTGTGCTGTGTGTGCGTGCAGGGGTGGACTGTGCCCGTGGTGTGCGTCACGCTGTCACAGGTGAACTGTGGTGTGTGTGTGACCCGGTTCGGCGGCAACACGGGGGGACGTCATGAGAATGGGCTTGTGTGTCGTGCAGCTGTGGGACCTTTGCCTGTAAAACGCAGGTGTTCTCCTCAGACCCCAGAGCAGTATTAATGATGCAGAGGTTCGAGGCGGGAGGTGGAGACTTGGGCCAGATCCAGGTGTGCGGGCATAGCTGGAGCTGGAATCTGGCCTCCTGAGTTGGGGAGCAGGGCTCCCACCACTTGGGACTCGATGGGGCAAGTGTGAAGCGGTGGGCCGGGGTCCACCAGAAGCTCAAACTGCCCTCTGGTGGTCTCTGGCCCTGCTGCATGTACATATTTTCTGTAAATAAGCCTGCACAGGGGAGCTTCTTTAAGGAATATTGCCCCAAACTCATTAAGAGAAAAGACTTTTTAAAAAACTTTGGATTCATCTGGATGCTTATTGTTAGAAAGATTGCTTAAAGAGTCATCAGCCTACACAGGGATTCAGCAAAGCTAGACCTTCCTCGGGCCCGAACCCAGGAGGTTAATTCCTATGGTTCAAGGTGCTCCTTCTGAGGCATCTTAATCTGGACAGCCTCATGGGAAGGAGACTAAGATCTGGTGGAGTTTGAAGGAGGAGCATGTGCCCCACAGTTACTGGGAATGGGAGGACAGGTAAGGTCCTTGGCCCTAGCCGTTCCTCAGCTTTTCCCCTAGGCGCATGTTTTCTTAGTTGTGTGCACAGGTGTTTGTGGTCCCTTGGTGAGGGGTCACTAGGGCTTGGTGACAAGGGCTCCTGGTTTAGTCATGGTATAGGGGAGAGAGAATAGTGATAATAGAACCAGGGAGGGTGGGAGCTCAAGTGAGGTGAAGGAGCTACTGGGAGCAAGAATGTCCCCTTTTCCCCAGGGGTCTCAGGGTCACTAGCTTGGGGCTCTTCCAGCAGTTTCGCTGGGTGGGGGCTGGGATTAGATGAGGTCCATTTTTGCCTGCCTGACCCAAATACATTCAACCAGGATACCTAGATTTAGTGCCAAACCCTGCTCAGCCTGAACTCTGCTGGATTTCTGACCAAAGGAGGGTCTCTCATCCCCTGCTCTCCAGCCAGCCAGGACTTTGCATGCGGAACCTGAAGATATGGAATTCTAGTATGTACATTTTGTGTAAATATGTGCATAGCTGTACATAAATGATATTCTGTTTTTAAATAAACAGATAAAACCTGTTCTTTCTGGTCCCTGTCTTGCTCCCTGAACGGTATAAATCCTGAACCTCAATACTCTTCTGTCTCAGCACATCCTCCCTGTGGTTCCAAGTTGGGGAGGAGCTAGGATGCCTGGAACTGGGAGGGACAGGAGGAAAGAAATAGTCTCCACAAGACCCTGAGCCATCTCTGAGAGTCCCCAGGTAGGACAGTGGATGGGAAGACCCCTTCCAGGATAGGCAGTAACTCAGTTGGCAGCATTTTATACCCTGTCTTTTACTGGAGTTTTACAACAGGCCTGGAAAGTAAACAGCAGTGTAAAATGTTGGGTTTCACAGGATATTAGAGTTGGGAGGATTTAAAGATCATCTTAGTCTACTCTTCACTTTTTCATATGTGTGGAAACTGAAGCTAAGCACAGTAATGTGACTCGGACAACACTTCAGGCCTGTAAGAGTCGGAGGCTGGGCTCCTCCCCACTTGGCGTGCCCCGCACAGCCCTGCGTTGCTTGCTCCTCGGCAATGCTGGGGTATCAACCTCAGACCCCAGGATTCTGGTCTCTAAGAGTGCCAGTCACCTGCTTGTGCCCCAGGCGCTACCACCCCACCCAAGGGCTCTGACATCACCACCTCTTGACCAATGAGCAGAGGCCCAGCAATGGGTGAGGATGTGAATGTCAGCTACCTCCCCCACCCCAGGCCTGTGGTTGCAAAGATGCTCTAACAGGAAGCGGGTTTAAGGAGCTGCACGGCTTCCTGCCACCCCAGGGCTGAGTGAGTCTCGCCCCAGGGCGAGAAGGGCGAGTGCCAGTCCCAGCCACGAGACACAGCTTCTTGCCGGGGTCCTAGCAGCTTCCTCTTCCACAGCTACTTCCGTGTGGCCGGGGCCCCAGAGGCAGGAGCTGCTGCCCGTTGCCCAGGCCACCCTCCACCCCCAGTTCTGAGCCCTGCCCCCCTGGGGCCAGGCCTAGCCCAGAGGCTGGCTTGGGATCCCATGGGGGACTAGTAGGGCAAAGGTCTTGGGGGATTGAGGTGGCTGGGCCAGGGCCCTGGGGCTCCGGCCATGAAGTCTCGGCAGAAAGGAAAGAAGAAGGGCAGCTCCAAGGAGCGGGTGTTTGGGTGTGACTTGCAGGAGCACCTGCACCACTCAGGCCAGGAGGGTAAGGAGGCCAGCCCAGAGCTGCTGCTGGGTGGAGGGGAGGCACCGGGCTTCTCTAGCCTGGTCGACTTTGAGGGTACAGAAGCAGTTTTTCTGGGAGCCCATGGAGAAGGGGCAGAGGCACGGGGTCACCCCCAGGAGGCTGATGCGCAGACAGGGCAGGAAATGTGGCTCGGCAAAGGCGGCTGAGGAGCTCTTCCGTGGGACCGCCTGGGGATGAGAATGAGGACGCTTGAGAGGAGAGGATGGAAAGACTGGGAACCCAGGAGAGGGAGGAGTAGAGGTGAGAAGATGACAGCTGGGAACAGCGTCAGGAAATGCGCGGCTGAGGAGCAAGGACAGTCCTTGGGGCAGAATGAAAGAAGACAGAAGAAGGGCCCCTGGAGAGGGTGAGGGCGGCACATGGGAAGGACGGGGGTTTCCTGGTTGGAGGAGAAGAGGTTATGGGGCTCTGGTCTCTTTGCAGCCTTGCTGGGCCACAGGTGAAGATGTGGGGTAGGGGTGGTCTCCTCCCCCAGTCTCTGTGATCCTCTGGTTCTCCATGCGCAAAGGAGAAGCGGGTTCAAAGTGGAGGGTAAGGCGAGAAGCTGCTGAAATGGGAACACCAGAAGAGTAAGAGGGATGGCCTGAGCCTGGTTTGAAGGTGGGGGTGGAGGGTGCAAAGGAAGGTAGGTGTGAGGATGCCCGCAGGCACCCTCCCTGGATTACCTTGGAGGGGCTTGGGAACCAGCAGGGCCAGGGCAACACTGGCCCCCGACCATGCTTGGTGTGGAGTAGACGCTCAGAAACATTTCTTGATTTACTTGGAATTGAATGCATACATCCTGACTTGCCCAGTCCGGCTTGTTTTTTGGTACTTTGAGCTCATCCCAATGAAGGACACGATTTCTATCGCCAACCACCCCCCCCCCCAACCCCACCCCAATCTGTCATTTCCTCTTTGTCCTCTTCTCTGCTCTGGGTTGTGGTGCCTGCAGTGGAGGCAGGGTGACGGTGGGTCCCAGCTCATTTCCTGCTCTTAGCCCCGCCCCTGTGTCTCCAGACACCTCCTTCCCCTTTTCTCCTCCCCCAGAGGCCCCCATCCCCACAGGCCTCGCTTAAGGGAAAACCCGGGCCCCAAGGAAGGGTGCACAACAGCTGAAGTGGTTTCGCTGTACCTTTCTCTTCTCACGGGGCAGAACCTAGCAGCCAGCGCAGGGCTGACAAGAGGAATCACAATCTTGAGAAAGATGGCTCTTGGCCGAGGGCCACATGCTTTAGCTGGGGCTCCTGTTCTAGTTCTCTGCGAACCCTCGGTTCAGCCTCCTCATCCTGGCACCGTCCTTCCCTGGGGACCCCCTACCAACCTCATGTTGAAATGCTGACCCCACAGCCAACCCAGATCCCACTCCTGTAACCTTCCTGGCCTCCGATGGTGCGGGGCCTGTTCTCTGGAAGGGACAGACAGGTTGCTGGGTCCAGATCCTAACGAATCCCAGAGAGAGAGAGACAGAAGCACCTCTTGCCCTTCACCAAAGCCACATCTGAATCCAAGGGTGGAGAAGAATCTTAGGCAGCCTTCTCCCCTTCCCCCAGCTCCTCCTAGCAGACAGGTGGAAAGTTGAAGGATAGAGAGAAGCCGGTTATGGCTTCTCCATAACCGGCTTCTCTCTTTAAGCTAAGAGCCAGCAAAAGTGAAAGTCCAGGACAGTGGAAAGCTGTGTTTCTGGTTAATTTATCTTGATTACCTTGGGCTCCCAAACCCTTGCTGCTCTGCTCCATTTTAGCAACCTCTCCCAGCTCTTTGGCTGAGGTAGACCTCTTCCTTCCTAAGCCCTGAACTTTAACTCTTTGAGACCTTGCTCAGGTTTCTGGCTCTCCAGGTTTCTAAGCTTCAGGCCCTCTCCTCTGACCCACCCTTTACTCTAACTCTTGGACTCTACCACCCCAACCCTGTGTCTTATCTCTGACCCCATTTCTCTTATCTCTGCCTCCTCGACTCCTCCATCACTCTGATCCTGTTATCTCATCCTCCATCTCCTTGACCCATTTCCGCTCTGGCTTTGACTCCTTAGGCTCTCGGATGTCTTCTTTCAAGGCCTCCTCTGGAGGTTCAAAAATCAACAGAGAAGGACGGGGAAGACCTGACTTGGTTGCAGTTCATGTGAAAAGAGCTTGGGACTTAGGTGACAGCAAACTATTTATGAGTTACAGAGTGATGGCTACAAGAGCTGGGGTAGCATTAGGGTACAGCAACAGCTTGAACGAGGAGGGTCTGCCCCGTCTCCGCATTCAATGCTGGGAACCTGAGGTTGGGAGACCCTGGCAAACGGGCCCAGATCCTGAAGCGATGGATGTCGAACTGTAGGGCCAGGACTAAGATGAGGCAAGAGAGGTGACTGGGGCACAAAATTTAAGGAAGCGCTCACTCTCAGGGCCAGGCAAGTGTCCTAGGTGCCTCTTTCTTAAGGAGGCGTTCACTCTCAAGATCATTCATGTGCACAGCTGGCTCTGGCATGACCCTAAGAGTGAGTGCTTCCTTAAATTTTGCAGCCTTCAAAAAAAAATTGTGCAGCCTTGGTGCTTTCCTTCTCCTACCCAAGTCCTGGTTCTGGGGTGCACGAGGGTAAAGGGTGTGGACACCAGGTCATACAAGGAGGGTTTAAAATAGTGTTTGATGGATTTATTATTTTCTTCAGTCTGTATTTCTAACTTAGTTAATTCCACAATGAGCTTGGGATGGATGACTTCCAAAACACCGAATAAAAAGAATAAATGACTGAAGGAATTAAGTTGTAGGGAAAACAAGAAGGGTGAGCTCAGTGCTCAGAAATGCATTTCAAGTAGTTCCGTATGGTTCCAAGATATAGGCTTCCTGACAGTTAAAATAAAGAGGTAAAGATAATCAGGTATAAAATTCATAAAGCCCACATGAAAAAGATAGGTGGCTTAGGAGAAGTACATCTTTTTCTGACGCTAACACAAGACAGGGTTTTCTCTGCTGAGTCTCACTTAATTGGACCCAGTGTTTTGTCTTAAGCAATATTCTCTATTAAATCTCCCATTCATTGACTAATTCATTGAGTAATTTAATAAACATCTGTTGAGCACCTGCTCTGTTTCAACACTGTGCTAGATGCTGGGGAGGACGTTACTATTTGTCAGAAGGTATAGACACAAAATATACTAATCATAACAAAGTACAATAAGTACTATAGTACAGATATAAACAAAGGAGTGTGGGAACTATGAAACAGATATCAGCAAAGAGTTCAGAACTGGAAGTGATGTCTGCGGTGTGTTTTGAGGAATGCATAGGGATTCACCGGCAGAGACAGAGAGGAAGGCATTCCAAGCAAAGGAAAACATGAGTGATTGTACCAGGGCTTGTCCAAGGAACAGCAAAGGGCTGGACCATAGGATTTAATGGGGTGGGGGGTGGTGCGGAGAGGGGGCTGGCTGGAACTGGTAAGGCTGGATTGGCAGTTGGATCTGGTTTGTGAAGGGTCTTAGGCAGTATACCTGTTGAGGAGTTTTTATTTTATTCTGTGTTTGTAAGCTAAGCATTGAAGATTGGGGTGGAGCAGAGTGTATATGTAGCAAAGGATTTCAAGCATGGAAGTGCTTTAGAGACATAACTTTGTGGCCTTGTGGAGATGAGATTCAACGGATGGTTTCTGAGGATTTCCCATGATTGAGACACCATGACAGATAAGATGAGGGAAAGCAAGATGGGTCACACTTAGATCTTGTCCTTAAGAGACCTACATTCCAGTAACTGGGGAAGGCTCCAAGGCAGGCGGAGATAACACAGTTTTTTGCATTCTTGGATCTGAATTCTGGCTCTGTCAGGTTGATCCTGGGCACTCATCACTGCTTTGATCCTCTGTTCTCATGTCTAATGCACAGCGCTTGGTACATAGGTGCTTTTCTCCTGAATGGACCAGTCTGAAGGTCTGTTACAATTTTGTGTACCTTCCTATGACAGATCTAATATCCATGCACTCACTAACCAGAGGAGGTGCTTCACAGTAATGCCCACCAGCTCTGTTCCATCCTGGTTGGAAGAATGAATGTTCCTTTAACTTCTATAGAGTGTTAGTAAATGCACTTTCAAGATCAGTTTTTTACCTCTTCCAACTGCATTGCTGTCCCTCTAAAATTTTTGTAGTAGCAACTAGTAATTCCAGAGAAAGAAATTTCAGGTCAACAGAGGCAGAACTTTCTAATGGGAATGGGCAGTCTGGGGAGGCAGTGATCTCACCCTCACTGGGGGAATTTATGCCAAGACTCTAGACCCAATGGGCAGAGAGGTTATAACAGGTTGGCAGGCTGGAGCTGGGATCCTGCACGAATCTTTCTGACAAGTGTTTATTCCATGAGTTTTCCCTTCTATCTCCCCATCCCCCTTTCCTGATGTGTTCCTCTGTGTCCAGAGATCTGGAGATCTCTGATCTCCCAGACCTTCTGATTTTTCTCTGCCCCTTCTGTGTCCCCAGTGCCCCAGGTGCTAAGGAGCTGTGCAGAGTTTGTGGAGGAGTATGGAGTGGTGGATGGGATCTACCGCCTCTCAGGGGTCTCTTCCAACATCCAGAAGCTCCGGTGAGTCAGGTAGTGAGGGGAGGGCTCTGTGGCCACTGAGGCCAGGAAGCCAGAGGGGTGAGGGGAACTGGGGAGAAGGATGGCAGGTACTGTCCAAGGGAGGAGCTCTAGTCTCCTCGGAAAAGGTTGACACCATGCCCCACACTTCCCACAGGCTAGACTGCACAGACGCATGTGTGTCAACACGCACATGTACACATATACACACTCCTCCACTCCCACATGTACCCACCCAGCTTTAAAGACAGATTTAGATATAATTCACAAGCCATAAAATTCACCGTTTGCAAATGTATAATTCAATGGTTTTTAGTATATTTACAAGGTTGTGCAACCTCCACCGCTGTCTAATTCCAGAGCATCAACTCCAAAGAAACCCTGTACCCACAGTCACTCCACATTTCCCTTCTCCCCCAGCCCCGAGTCTACTTTCTGTCTACGGAGTTGCCTGTTCTGGACATTTCACATAAATGGCATCATATAATGGTAACTTTCTATGGCTGGCTTTTTTTCACTTATCATGTTTTCAGGGTTCATACATGTTGTCACATGCACCAATACTTTACCATTCCTTTTTTATGGCTGAAAAATATTCCACTGTGTGGTGTTATCACATTTTGTTTACCCATTTATCAATTGATGGCTATTTCGGTTGTTCCTACCTTTTGGCTGTTATGATTAATGCTGCTATAAACATTTTGTGTACGAGTATTTGTGTGGACATATGGTTTCAATTCTCTTGAGTATATACCTAAAAGTGGGATTGCTGGGTCGAATGGTAACTCTATGTTGAACTTTTAAAGAAACTGTCAAACTATTTTCCACAGCAGTTGCATCATTTTACATTTCCACAAGCAATGTATGAGGGTTCTCCACACCCCTGTCAACAGTTGTTACTGTGTATCTTTTTGATTATAGCCACTATAATGCTGTGAAGTCATATTTCATCTATATTTGCATTTTCCTAAGAGCTAATGAAGTCAAATACTTTGTGTGCTTATTAGTCATTTGTATATCTTCTTTGGAGAAATGTCTATTCATAAACTTTGTTCATTAAAAAAATAGGTTATTTGTCTGTTTCGAGTTGTAAGAGTTCTTGATGAATTCTGAATATGAGATACTGACTAAATCTATGACTTGCAAATACGTTCTCCCCTTCTGTGGGTTTTCTTCATTTTCTTGATAGTGTCCTTTCTTACATAATAGTTTGTAACTTTGATGTTATATTTATCTATTTTCTTCCTTGGTTGCTTGTGCTTTTGGTGTCATATCCAAGAAACTGTTGCCTAGGTCCAAGGTCATGAAAATTTACACTTACATTTCCTTCTAAGACTTAGTCGCATCCATCTTTGCATGTAGCCAGAAACACACATTTTAGGCTCACTCCTCCACTTCTACTGACTCCTACATATCCCTATACTGCCGCTCACACCTTCTCTACATCCTGACATGTATCCCTGTTCATGTATAGGTCCACTCATCCACCTCACGTCAACTCTGCATGTTGACAAGAACAATGCCTTAAGCTTGCTGCCTCACGTATATACACGCCCCAACCTCTTCCTTCCAAGTTTCATACATACTGACCCTCGACCTTGCCTGGAGCCCATCTCTACAGCTCCACCTCTCCCCACACTGCCCCAGACCCCCACCACTCCTGACTACTCTGCACCTCCCCAGGCAGGAATTTGAGGCTGAACGGAAGCCAGACCTGCGGCGAGATGTTTACCTTCAGGACATTCACTGTGTCTCCTCCTTGTGCAAGGCCTACTTCAGAGAGCTGCCAGACCCCCTGCTCACGTACCGGCTCTATGACAAGTTCGCTGTGAGTTCAGTGGAAGGGGAGTGGGAGAGAAGGCAGAGGGCGGCCGCTCTGACGTGACATCCCAGATGTGCCTCACGCCAGACAGAGTCCTAGGGACCCTGCGTGACAGAGACCACAAGGAAATGACAAGACCCTTCCCTACAAATCTCCTAGTGCTGCCATCTCTGCCCTGCCCCGTCCCTCCTTTCCCCAAGGCCTGCAAACCACACGCAGCGCAGGGTGAGACTGCGGGAGAGCAGAAACTGGAAAGCCCTTGGAAATCACCTAGACCAGAGCTTCCCCACACTTAAGAGAACGAGAACACCTCCAGGAAGCCAAACGGTTTTCAAGTGTGCCCTTCTGTGAACTGTGATTTGTGTGTTGAACATCTCTTGAATAAAAAAATACATGACAGAACATCCCTGGTGGGCCAGTGGCTAGGACTCCCGCTCCCAATGTAGGGGGCCAGGGTTCAATCCCTGGTCAAGGAACTAGAGCCCACGTGCCACTACTAAGACCCGGCACCGCCAAACACATAAATAACGTTTTAAAGAGAAAGAAAATACATGGCAGAAGCGCTATCTGGAACTGAGTAACATTTTTACTTATACTTTTAAAAGTATTTATTTATTTATTGGTTGCACCTTCTAGCTTATGGGATTTTAGTTCCCCGACCAGTTATTGAAACGGAGCACTCCACTGCGAGAGCTTCCTAACCGCTGAGATGTGAGACCGCCAGGGAACTGCCTTGAGCAACACTTTTAAATTAAGTTGCATTTTATTGAGCATGACTTCATTTAGAGATCCTAAACAGCCAGGGCATGCCATTCGGCCCAAATAGACCAGGCTGGGTGGGCACAGGCCTTCCCGGACATCCTGAAATAAACCACGGCCCCTGGCATGCCCACAGGATGAAACCATGAATGTTTTCCAGTGTCAGAGCACTGCTGATGAGGACGCTCAGGCAGAGCAGCAGGGGGCTGAGAGTTTGGCTCAGAGCTCTGGGGAGGACGCTGGGGCAGCCCCAGGTCATTGACTCCTGCTCCTTGCTCCCAACCAGGAGGCTGTGGCCGTACAACTGGAACCTGAGCGCTTGGTCAAGATCCTAGATGTGCTTCAGGAACTTCCGGTCGCCAACTACAGGTGTGTGGGGCTCCTCCCGACCAAAGTCCGGACTCCCCCCACTGAGCCCAGGCTCTCTCTTTACCTGGTGCCTTGACTTGTCACTTCTCTTCCTGCTCCCACCCTGCGTGAGCTCTGCCCCCTGACGCCCGCTTTCTGCAGGACCCTGGAGTTCCTCATGAGGCACTTGGTGCACATGGCCTCATTCAGCGCCCAGACCAACATGCACGCGCGCAACCTGGCCATCGTGTGGGCCCCCAACCTGCTGAGGTGGGTGCGCGCATGCGCGTCCTGGCAGAGCCTAGCCCCTGGGGAGCCGCCTGGGGACGGAGTGTAGCTGTGTGGTGCTGGAGAGGGCTCTCACCCCGCGAGAACAGGATGGCTCAGGATTACACGGTGTGGCGTGGAGCTCACCTAGGGGAGCCCTTTCTCTGAGCTTGAGTCAAGTCCCCAGGGCCACACTGAGAAGCATGTGGGGTCTCAGTTCCCCGTCCAGGGATCAAATCTGTGCCCTCTGCAGTGAAAGGTAGAATCCTAACCACAGGAGCACCAGGGCATTTCTGGGCCTTTATGTTTTCTTACACTGTTGTCTTTTAGCTCAGGGACTGGACAGGAGACGGGGGCGGTGCAGGGTGTGGCAGCTGGGGGGCTGTGGGGGGTTGGGTGGGGTGGGCCTTGTCAAATGTTTGTTGAGCAAGTATCTTGGAGAAGCGGCCTGCATGTCACTCCCTGTGGTGCACGGTAAACTATAAGAAGTCCTGAGATTTGTTATACACAGGCACCCTGGTGGGCAGAGGAAGTAGAGACTAATATCCTAAGGAGGGTGACTAAGAAGGCTTCCCGGAGGAAGTGGCATTTGAGACTTGAATCATGCATGTTGATTAAAAGGGGGAATGGGGTTTTTTTTGTTTGTTTTTTGGGGGGAATGGGTTTAATGGTATGCAGAGGAAAGGGTATACAGTATTTTTAGGGAGAATTTGAGTGGGGAAATGCAGTGGGGCTGCAGGGCGTAACTCCACACCTCCGCAGGTCTAAGGATATAGAAGCCTCAGGTTTCAATGGGACAGCAGCCTTCATGGAGGTGCGTGTGCAGTCCATCGTCGTCGAGTTCATCCTCACACATGTGGACCAGCTTTTTGGGGGTACTGCTCTCTCTGGTCAGTGTCTTTCCCACCCCCCACATCACCACTCTCTGCCTAGGGAGTCACGTCAGAGTTAGAGAAGGCCTCCAAGGTCATCCAGTTCAGTCTCCCTGCTTTGCAGACGACAAGACTGAGTCTCATTAAGTTCTTATGGTCATGTGGAAAAGACCCTACAGAAGAATGGTGCAGTTAGGACTTGAGCGGGCCTCTTCTGCTCTCAGTCTAGGGCACAGCTTGACCTCTTAATCAATGCCCAGCCCGGTTCTCGAGGCTAGTGACTGATCATCCCATCCCCAGCCCACTGGGCCTATGTCCTGGGATCTCCTGGCCCTCTTTGTCCCTGAGGACCTCCTCTTGAGCACATAGGATTGATCTCCAGGTATATTCCCTACCTTGGTAGTTAGTGAGTGGAGGATGCAGTGAGGAGGTGGGTACCCGAAGCCCTCTTTCTGTTCCGGGCTGGCCAATTCCTCTTTCCTTTCCTAGGTAGTGAAGTGGAAAGTGGATGGCGATCACTTCCAGGGGTCCGAGTGTCAGGCAGCCCTGAGGATGTTATGCCACGGTCCCTGCCCTACAATCTGCCTAGCATCCTGCAGGCTGGTGATGGACCCCCCCAGATGCGGCCCTACCACACCATCATAGAGATTGCAGAGCACAAGTAAGTCCTTCTTCCTGGGCCCTTCTCCCCTGCACTGGCCGTCAGGCATCAACTGCAGTGATTTCTCCATTCCCTCTAGGAGGAAGGGGTCTCTGAAGGTCAGGAAGTGGAAATCTATCTTCAATCTGGGTCGCTCTGGCCATGAGACCAAACGTAAACTTCCACGGGGGGCTGAGGACAGGGGTAAGTCTGCGGAGATACAGGGGGAGTTCTGCTGAGGGTGCACTAGGTCCTGGCACTATGCACATCCCTGTCTTGCAGAGGACAAATCTGATAAGGGGACTCTGCGGCCAGCCAAGAGCATGGACTCGCTGAGTGCTGTGGCTGGGGTTAGTGATGGTGAGTCCAGGTGTGCACTCGTGTGTGTGTGGGGAAGGGTAGTGATGGCCAGTGACTCCATCTCCAGGGAGGGAAGGGCGTTCCTAAGTACGCGTTGGTGGGGTGACCTCTGCTCAGCTGTTGGTGAAGGTTGGCAGTGGTGGCTAAGGGAAGCTGGGCCTGGTGCCTTCCAGGCTATAGACAAAACAGAGGACACTCCCTGGAGGCTTTCTGAGGTATGTCCAGGCCCCTTGTGGCTGAGGTTAGGGCCTGCTTTTCTCTCCTCCGCAGAACCAGAGGGCTTGGTCGGATCCAGCAGTCCTCGGCCAGGCCCACTGCTGACGGAAAGCTTGGAGAATGATTCCGTGGAAGCGGCAGAGGGTGAGCAGGAGCCGGACCCGGAGGCGCTGGGCGGCACGAGCTCCGAGCCCGGCACACCACGACCTGGGCGGTCAGCAGTCCGTGTTGGGGGCAGCAGCCACGCAGAGCGCCGTGCTGGTGTCCACATCTCAGGGCCCTACGATGTCAACCTCCCAGTACACATCAGCAATATGCTCAAGATGTCTCCAAACAACATCGCTAACATCTCCTTGGCGGGGTTTGCCCATGGTCTTGAACATCCTGCCCTACAGCCCCGGCCAAGCCCTGCCTCTGGCCCCGGTCCTGGCCCCGGCCTTGGCCCTGGCCCCCCAGGTAAGGACCCAAGGATTGCCCAGGACTGGGAGAAGGGACTAGAGCTCTAGGCTGAGGCGCTGAAGCTGGGAATCTGCCCTGGACTATGGGTGGTTACCTCTAGCTGCCTTTCCAAATTCAAGATTGAGGGAATCCAGTAATATTATTAGGTTGTTCATACATGTAGCTTCATGTAGAAGGGTTCCCTGGCAGCCTTAGGTCACTGATACACCTAAGAATGGGGATTTGTGTCATACATATATATGGTAGGGATTACTAAGTACAAAGTAGGAAGATAAAATAGTTGGCTACCCAGGTAGCTCGGTGGTAAAGAATCTGCCTGCCAGTGCAGGAGAGGCAAGGGACCTGGGTTTGATCCCTGGGTTGGGAAGATCCTCTGGAGAAGGGAAGGGCAACCCACTCCAGTATTCTTCTTGGGAAAATTCCATGGGCAGAGGTGGCTGGAAGGCTACAGTCCATTGGATTGCACAGAGTTGGACATGACTGAGCACAGACACATTAACAGGTGACATGGGTTCAATTCCTGCTCCAGAAAGATGCCACATGCCTCAGGGAAACTAAGCTCGTGCATCACAAAAATAACAACAACAACATTTATAAGAATAGCAAACATTAGTTGAGAGCTTGTGATGTGCTGTGTTAGGGACTTTGAAGGCATTAGATCATTTCCTTTTGTCAGAGTCTTGACTCGGGTATGGTTCTTGTCCTTACATTACAGCAGTGGAAGCTGAGGCTTATGTTAAACAATTTGGAGGAGGTGGCACACCTGGAATCTGATCTGTGCTCTGACTCCAGTTCCTAAGCGTCAATAATGAGAAGGACTGAGGCAGCGCTGGGTGGTGGGTGGGGAAAACAACTGCAGAGGAAAGGAGACTGCGATTCTAATTTGGCTGTGCCCCTTGTTTGTGACCTTGGACAAATTCCTCTGAGTCTCAACTTCCTCCCATATATAACGGGGATACATATCCGACATCATAAAGGTGCTTTGTGGAGAAAATAAAACAATGCATTATAAAACATATAGCACAGGGCTTGGCACCTGACAGGAGTTGTAAAAGGTGGCTATAAGCCAACAGTTAGGGATATTGGTCTAAGAGGATTAGCCACATGAAGCATCTCTGCTGGGAATGTTGGGCCCATACTATAAGCAGTGCTAGGAAGACTGACCTTGGAAAGGGTCAGAACTGGTCTTGACCTTAGTATCCCTGGGACTCTCTCTCTCCCAACAGATGAGAAGTTGGAGGCAAGTCCAGCCCCAGGTTCCTCAGCTGACTCGGGCCCAGTGGATGTGGCCCCTGCCCTGGAGGACTGCTTGTCCCAGGAGGTGCAGGATTCCTTCTCCTTCCTAGAGGACTCAAGCAGCTCAGAACCTGAGTGGGTGGGGGTGGAGGACGGGGAGGTGGCCAAGGCAGGACCAGCAGGAGCAGCCTTCTCCCCTGGGGAGGAAGACCCTGGGCTGGGCTACCTGGAGGAGCTCCTGGGAGTTGGGCCTCAGGTAAGGAGGCGCTGTGCTGGGTTTGGGGGTGTTAAGGAACCCAGAGGTGGACAAGGCCACGTAGTCCTAAGCCATGATGCTGTATTTACAGGTGGAGGAGTTCTCTGTGGAGCCACCCCTGGATGACCTGTCCCTGGATGAGGCACAGTTTGTCCTGGCTCCCAGCTGCTGTTCCCTGGACTCTCCTGGCCCCAGGCCTGAAACAGAGGAGGAAAGCGGGGAGGAAGTCTTCCTGAGCGCCTATGATGACCTAAGTCCCCTTCTGGAGCCCAAACTCCCAACCTGGGAGGGGCCAGGCAGTGAAGAGGAAAAGGCAGCAGGGTCTGGAAGACAGGAGGCTTCAGGACAGGCTGAGGGAGAGCAAGCCTTGAGTGAAGATGGAGAGAACAAGGAGGGTGGGCCTGGAAGCAGACGAGACGTCAGGGAGGAGGCTGAGGGGAGCCCAGAGAGTGACGTGGAGGGCAGAGTGGCCAGTGAGGAAGGAGCAGAGGCCGAGGGAAGCCAGCAGCTGATTGACAGTTTGAAAGAAGGATGTGGGGGGGAGACAGAGGCCAAGGCAGAGGAGTCCAAAGGTCAGCAGGAGGATGAGAGAACGGAGGAAGCTAAGCGTGTGGAAGCAACTGGAGGAGAGCTGGCTAAAGTCCAGGGGAAGGAAAGAAAGACTGAGAGAGAGGGAGGTGCTGAGGAAGCAGATGAAGCCCAGCTAGCAGCTGGAAGGGACTCAGAGCACGAGGCCCAGGAAAACCAAATTGCTGAAGAGAGCTGGGAAGTTGTACACAAAGAGGCTGACGGAGGCAGAGAAAATGAGGTCAAAGGACAAAGGGCAGAGGAGGGTCAAGAGGCAAGAGAAGACCAAGGAGATGGCGAAGATAGCAGGGTCCCAGCAGCTGCGGCAGCTGAAGGAGGAGCAGGGGAGATCAGCAAGGAACGGGAGTGTGGACACGGAGAAGCTGAGGGAGACCAGAGAGCTGGAGGGGAACGGGTAGAAGAGGGTTCCCTCCCCGAAGGGTCACAGGTAGAGTCCCTGGAGGTTGACAGTGCCAAAGGAGGCAGCTCCCAGTCCTCTGAGACAGAGCAGGCAGCCCCACAGCCGCCTCGGCCGGAGGAGATGGACCTCGAGGGGCAGCCCAATCCCCCTGGCTCGGCTGGCGGCGTGGGCATGCGCCTGGCTTCCACCCTCATTCAGGTCCAGCAGGTCCGCTCTGTGCCCGTGGTACCGCCCAAGCCACAGTTTGCCAAAGTGCCCAGTGCAATGTGCGGCAAGATCCACGTGGCACCAGCACACCCATGCCCAAAGCCTGGCCGGCTCGATGGGGACAGGGCCTGGGGCTCCCGAGCCTCCCGCTCCTCTTGGAGGAATGGGGGCAGTCTTTCCTTTGATGCTGCCGTGGCCCTGGCTCGGGACCGCCAGAGGACTGAAGCTCAGGCAGTTCGGCGGACCCAGACCTGTACTGGTGCTGGGGACTACAGCCTCATCCCCAAAACCTCCCCCCATAGCATGATCCCTGCCTACGCTCCCCGGCCCCTTAGCTGCCTGGAGATCCCAGCTGAGGGCACAGATGGGTCTGGACCCCGGAGTCGGTTTAGCCTGCCTCCCAGAGAACCCCAACCTCCTGATCCCCTTATGTCCCCCCAGCGCCGATCGTATGCATTCGAAACACAGGCTAACTCTGTGAAAGGTGAGGGACTGTAATTAGGACCGGAGCACTGGGAATAAGGGACAGCAGTTGTCTCCCGGGTCTTGGATGGTCTCATCTGCAGCCTGAGCAGCTGTAGTGCCCAACTCTATAGGTTTTGGCCCTGCAGCTTCTCGTTTTGACTTGGGAAGCACTGTCTTGGTCTGTTTACCTGAGCTTGTCTCAGACACACTTATCCCTTAGAAGATTCCTGAGAAAGTCACCAAGATCCTGTCCCCAGAGAGAGGGGTCACTGGCCAAAGGGAACAAAGAGTAGGTGGAAAACGTAACTGTTTCTCAAAGTGAAGAATGAAAAGGGAACTCCAGCCAAGGTCCTGTCTTCCTTTGAGGCAATGAACTCTTCATGGAAGTCCAGAGTAGAGGCGGGGTCAGGACCAGGTTGGAGCCTATTACACACAAACACTTTTAGAGGTTACCTATCCTTGTTCTACTCTTGGTTCCTTGGATATCTCCTGCTCCGATTAACTCCAGATTAGGAGAAAAATGTCCAGGAAACTCTTTGAATACACAGTATTTGTTGGCAGGACTAGTTCCATTCCCAGCTCCCCAACCTTCTGCCTCCCTGGATCTCTAGGAACCGAGGTCTTGTGTAGATCTCTCTGGCCTCTTCTTTCTCCTTTGGAATAACTTCTTATTTTACGGAAGAGGGATGGCGTCACTCAGGCTCTGGGATTGTTTCTCTGGACAAGTTGGGGCCACATGTCCCAAGGGGCAATATCTCAGAATAAATGCTGTATTTTTACACATAAATAGTGTAGTTTCTTTTTACTCTTACTACTCTTGAATGATAGGTACCATATCTTCCAAGGTGGTGCTAGTAGTAAAGAACCCACCTGCCAATGCAGGATACATAAGAGATGGGGGTTAGACCCCTGGGTTGGAAGAGCCCCTGCAAGAGGAAATGGCAAACCACTCCAAGTATTTCTGCCTGGTGAATCCAACAGACTAAGGAGCCTGGCAGGCTACAGTTCACAGGGTCACAAAGTCAGACACAACTGGAGTGACTTAGCATGCATAGTTATATTTTCATGTTTGGTCAAACGCGTTCTTCTGTTTTCATTGTCTGGGTGTTCTTCCTCAATTGTCGTGGTGGAGACCTATAGCTAGAAACTAGAGCTGGGTTCACAGTGGTCAGGAAATGAGGAAGGGAAACTTACATTTACATAATGCTCTTTATATGCCAGCAGAGCTAGGTATCCTACGTGCACAGAATCTATGCTCTTAATTCTTGGTCCACCAAATAATTCTTTAAGGTTGGTACTGGTATCTCCATTAAAAAAAAAAAAGTTTTATTTGGCTGCACTGGGTCTTAATTGCAGCATGTGGGATTTTCCATCTTAGTTGCAGCATGTGGGCTTTTGTTGTTGCTGCTGCCTGCGAACACATTCTTGTGGCATGTGGGATCTAGTTCCCTGACCAACGATGGAACCCTGCATTGGGAGCACAAAGTCTTAGTCACTTGACCACCAGGGAAGTCTCATTTTACAGGCGAGGAAACAAAAGTTAATTAGGTCAAAATGTTTGCCAAAGGTATCAGAACTAACAAGTGGCAGAGGTAGGTCTGAGACCCGAATCTGTCTGGTTCAGGGTCTGAACTCTTCCCTTACACCACACTACTTCAAATCCATTAAGGGTAGGTCCTGACTGAAAAGAAAGGGGAATTAAGATACCTTTCACAGAAACTGAGACTCAAAAACTAGACGCCTTCGGGGTCTTCGAGAGACTACAAAGGCTAATGTTGCTGTTCAGTCGCTAAGTCCTGTCAACTCTTTGCGACCCCACGGACTGTAGCCCGCCAGGCTCCTCTGTCCATGGAATTTCCCAAGCAAGAACACTGGAGTGGGTTGCCATTTCCTTCTCCAGGGGATCTTCTCAACCATGGGATGGAACTTACGTCTCCTCCACCGGCAGGTGGATTCATTACCACTGAGACGCCAGGGAAGCCCGGCTAACACTAACACACATGAGCACATCCAGATTTATGTATGCCCAGATATGTCCTAATCTCCAATAGGAAACTTCAAATGGGTGGCCTGATCCAAGATGCCCTCCTAAATAGCTCTTTTTAAAGACGGCGCCTCTGCCTCCATCTGACGTGCCTCATTTGATATAAGCTCACTTCTCCTGGAACTAAAAAGGCCCTGGACGGCAGAAAAATGGTAGCACCAAGTTAATCGTCTTTCTCCCGTTCTTGCCTAAAGCCACTTGGACTTCAGTGTCCTTCTCCCAGGACCCCAAAAGGTTGTTTGGTCCCAGCACCAGCACCACCCCACGCAAGCCCGCATCCAAACCCTCAGCAACATGGAGGGAACGGAAGTCGGGCGGCTCGGAGGCAGAGAAGGCTGGGTGGGTCGAGAGACACTTCCGCCCCTCACCAACATGGCGGCGGGCCGGGAGTGCGCATGATCAGCTGTCCCTGGAGATACCCGAGTCCGGAGGAGAGAACACGGTCGGGGGAGATCGGCGGCTGCTGCGGCGTTGGCCGGTGAGTGCAGGACATAGCGGGAGTCTGGAGACTGGGTGAGCCGGCGAGGCACAGCAGCGTTGATTTTCTCCCCGTTTTTTAGGTTCAGGAACTCCTGGGGCGGAAGTCTTTGTTTTGAGGGAGGGGGCAGTGTCTAGCTCTTTATCTCCTACCCCCTTTGTGGGCCGAACTCACTCCCCGCCCCCGGGCGCGCACGTCCCCGCCCTCCTGCGCTGCCAGCCGCGGGCCGCTGGGCCGGAGACCGCAGGGCTAGCTGAGCCCCCAGCGTCCTTCCCTACCCCCGAGGAGCAGCGCGAGCTGGGGGTGAGCCCGGCCCGGGTAGCCGGGTCACCGCGCGGGCCCCTGGGCTCGCGCCTGGCCGTAGCTCAGCTGCTGAGCGCCTGCTGGTTGGTGGGCCCGCAGGGAGACGCCGCATTCTCAGGCTTGGTCTAGGTGCCTGACTTCTTTGCGGACTTGATGTTTCCCTTTGTGTCCAGACTTGGCTAAGCTCTTACAGGGCCCTCCTTCCCGGACCGTGCACGCCACAACATCCTAGCCCACTTTCCGTGTCGCATACCCCTAAAGCTCAGGGAATGCTTCCGGATGTCCAACTAAGACTTGAATAAGTAGCCTGACCCCGTTGCCGATTGTCCTCAGAGGCTGCTCCTGGCTGACAGCTGTGGGCCTTAGAGACGCCTCCTGTACCTTGCCCTCGGTTTGATTGCTTCATTTTGCTGTCAGTGCTGCAAGCTTCAGAGGGGCATTTCCTCCGCAGGTTTGAGGATAGAACGGTAGGTGGTCTTGAAACACCAGTCCTACTTCCCCCTTAGGGACTGGGATCTTCTTGCAGCGCTACTTCCTCTGGACGGTTTCACTTTCACTTCCTTTTTTTGGGGGTTAACACTTTGGATACAAGCTTTCCATGACTCATCCGCTGAAGATAAAGGTTTGGGGGACCTTATGGGTAGAGAATTTACAAAAACCTTATCCCTTTCCTGTCGAGATTATTTTATTGCTTTACACTGTATAGCTGTTTCCTTCTGGAGGCGCCTTCCTTTGTTTTTCCTGCCCACCTCCCGCCGCCCTCCAGCCGTCTCCCCCCACCCCATGCCTGTCCACCCCGCCCCGCCCCGCCCCGGTCAGGGTCTTAAGGCAGGCACCTTGTGGATGGATTCCTCCCCCATTGTCTTTTTCTCCCTTCTCGCTGGGTTCAGTTGATTTGGAGTTGTCATGGCAACATTTTAGCAACTGTGTTGTTCTACAGGAAGGCTTGGTGAATAAAATAGTAGGGGCTTGAAGATGATACACTAGGGCTTTATGGTCTTTTTAATGAATGACATATATCTGGACTTCCCCAAACAACAGCCGGATCAGTAGAATGGGGCCCAAGGGCCAAGTCTGGCCTTTATGGTTCTGGAGGTTTTCTTTTCCTAGATCTGAGGACAGGTATTTGTTGGTGTTCAGTATGTGTGCCTGAGGAACTGGAATAAGTATCAGGGTCTATGGTCCTGTATTTTTTGATAGCGGTGGTCTAAACATGGCCCCTCCTTATCCCGATATCATGGCAGATCATAATAGCTTTAATAATAATCCATCCAGAAATATGTTTCAGTCTTTCAGTGTAATTATACCCTCTCCATCAGGAGATGGAGTGAGAATTGGAGAGGTGAGGAACTTATTTGTAGAATTGCTTTTTCAGTCACTGTAGGCAGCCTTCAGCATTAGAATGGAGAAAGCTGGTTGTCCCTTGCAGAAGATTGGTTATGTTCCTGGATGTGTCTTCATGGAGCCTCGGTTCTAGAAATAGGAGAGCTTTCAGTTTCCTAGACTCACTAGACTCCCTGATTTCTACCAGGACTTAGCACTCAGGCCTGTGAGGCAGGAGATACGAAGATTTCCAAAGAAGGACCAGTTCCTCGGATGTGCCCCCTCACAGAGAGATGAAGGGGTGAGTGAAGAAGAGGTAGGGCCTGGAATGGGAGATGGGAGCCCTGGGAGAATGCAAAATGGCTAGGAGCTCTGGCTCTGGAGTCAGGCAGACCTCAATTTAGGTCCCAGCTATATCACCTAGCTATGTAATCTGTTTATAAAATGCAAGTAGTTCTACCTACTCATAATTGCTGTTCTTAGTACTAAATAAGATATTGCCTGTTAAATGCTTGGCTCAGTGCTAGGTATATACCAGCTCTGGTTATTCTAACCTCCCCTAGCATCTTTTGGGAATGCCAGTGAGTTTGGGAGCCATATGTTACTGGGCCAGTGACTTTTTCCCCTTATTCTTCCTCTTGTCCCTTCACAAACAGGCAGCAGAAAACAGCAGAAACTGAAGAGGGGACAGTGCAGATTCAGGAAGGTGAGTGGGAGAAACAGAACTGAGCTGAGACCAGCAGCCCATTGTGGTCTCACCGCACACCCCATGGGCCTATCACCTGTGTACCCTTCTCTTTTTAAATGACACACAGGTGCAACAGAGGGAGAAAAGCCAGAACTCACAGACTTTTTCCTTTTAATTCAGGCGCAGTGGCAACTGGGGAGGACCCCACCAGTGTGGCTATAGCTAGCATCCAGTCAGCTGCCACTTTCCCTGACCCCAACGTCAAGTACGTCTTCCGAACTGAAAATGGGGGCCAGGTAAGGGAGGGGGCCAGGTGACTGCAGGTGTTACCTGGGGTTGGCATTGAGGGAGGTGATTGAACCTATCATGGGGAGACCTGGTTTGGAGGATGAGGTGAAGATGTGGACTAATTGGAGGGTGGGAGTTGGGGGGGGTGGAATATGAGGTTTACAGTAGAGATTGGTATGGGGTGGGGGCTATGCCGAAACCACTATATGGGAAAAGGAGGGGAAATGGTTAAATACACATCTCTGAAGGATTCTTTTGGGGGGGGGGACCCTATCCAAGAGAAGCTTTATGAGGAGTTCTGGAGTCCCTAGCACTTACTCTCTTGTTTTCTCTTCCCTTCCTCCCTTTCCTGAATCTAGGTGATGTACAGGGTGATCCAGGTGTCTGAAGGGCAGCTGGATGGCCAGACTGAGGGGACTGGTGCCATCAGTGGCTACCCTGCCACTCAATCCATGACCCAGGTACACGGGTGTGGGCTGCAGAGGGGACTTGAGCTCTGAGTAGCAAGATGAAGAAGGGAACTAGTAGGATGGGCGTGGCTAGGGATAGTGAGATATCTGGGGCTGCCCTGACCCAAAGCACTAGACTCTTCTTCTCTGGATATTTCTCCCTGTCTCCTCACAAGAGATAGAGCTGCAGAGTAGTTCATGGGAAGTATCTGACTGTCACTTGTCTCTGTTCTCTTGCTCCCCTTGCCAGGCCGTGATCCAGGGTGCGTTCACGAGTGATGATGCAGTTGACACAGAGGGGACAGCTGCTGAGACGCACTATACTTACTTCCCCAGCACTGCAGTGGGAGATGGGGCAGGGGGTACCACATCGGGCAGTACAGCAGCTGTTGTTACTACCCAGGGCTCAGAGGCACTACTGGGGCAGGCGACCCCTCCTGGCACTGGTGAGATATTATGTGAGGATGCTGGCTGGAGGGGCTAGGATAGGCTGCGGGATGTGGCTGGTGGGCAGTGGGCCTTTACTCATGATCCCTTGATGATCACTAAGACCTGGGCAGGCAGTGAGTCTGGGGCTGCCCTTCCAGCAGGAGGCAGTATGTGTTTTTTTTAGAGGAGGATCCCAGGGCCTTGGCCTTAGAGCTTGGTGAGGGCCCTAGTTCCACGTCCTGACAGAACCTCCCCTGCATCCTCACAGGTCAGTTCTTTGTGATGATGTCACCACAAGAAGTGCTGCAAGGAGGCAGCCAGCGCTCTATTGCCCCCAGGACCCACCCATATTCCCCGTGAGTAACCCGTTTCTTCTCAGTTACCAGGAATAGTCTTGATTCTTTCCAAAGATTTGGTGTGGTTCCTCACCCCAAACTCCAATCTCAGTTTTTGACCTTGCCTCACTCTGGCCCCCCTGGGCTCTATTGTTAGGAAGTCAGAAGCTCCCCGGACAACTCGGGATGAGAAACGCAGGGCTCAGCATAATGAAGGTAGGCATGATCTGCATGTGAAGCTTGGAGCTGTCTGGTGGAATTGGGGACCTCTATGATGTTGAAGGGAGAGGTTAGGTAATTTTACCCTGGGGCCTTTGGTGAGTTCTCCCCGAGTCACCGTGTCCTCTGCTTGCCCCACAGTGGAGCGCCGCCGCCGCGACAAGATTAACAACTGGATTGTACAGCTGTCCAAGATCATCCCAGACTGCTCCATGGAGAGCACCAAGTCTGGCCAGGTCATGGAAAGACCCTGGTAGTGGCCAGGATGCCTGAATTCTGTCTCCTGGCATTGCTTCCAGAAATGGTAGAGAGTGGGCACACATGGCAGTAGTTTTTTCCTATCTGTCTCTGAGGTTCCTGAATCCCTGGGAGATGTTATTCCACCATCCTTTAAGGGAAAACAAGGTCCAGAGTGTGAACATGCTTTTGGAAAGCAAGCCAGGTATTTTTATATCCTAGTCCTTATTTTGTTGGCTTTTTCTTAACAGAGTAAAGGTGGAATTCTATCCAAAGCCTGTGATTATATCCAGGAACTTCGGCAGAGTAACCACCGGTTGTCTGAAGAACTGCAGGGGCTTGACCAACTACAGCTGGACAACGATGTGCTTCGACAGCAGGTCAGGAACCCCCCCCTCCCCAGTACAGCTGTCCTCAACCTCCCTCCCTAGCCACCAACCCAGCTCAGGACTCCCTATTTTGTCTTCCATAGAGGTTTATCTATACCTCATCACTGGTGGGTGTCTGAATAAGTTCAGAGACTTGGGTGTGCTAACTTTTCTACCTATTTCCCTTACTGCTCTTTCCCATGTCCAGGTAGAAGAACTTAAGAACAAGAATCTGCTGCTGCGAGCTCAGCTGCGGCACCACGGAGTGGAGGTTGTCATCAAGAGTGACAGCAACTAACTCTGGGGGCGCAGGGGCTCCAAGCTCTCCAGCCCCTTTCCGAGAACTTCAGATAGCCTGGGAGCCACAGGCGAATCACCCCACGCCCTTTTCCTTCACTGCCCACATTTGGCATGGGACTGGGGGGAGTTCAGAAGGCGTCTCTTTGAATTAAGGCCCTGAGATCTAGCAGCCTGCAGTGGTGTGAAACACACACCGTGGGTGTGCACCGACAGTCTCGCCCAACCAACCCTCCCGTGCAGCCCCTGGGCCCCTGCGCTCCTCCTGCACACTGCATGTGCTGTCTCCATGCTGGACGCTGGACACACGAAACTGGGGGGCTTGCCCCCTGCTTGCTTCAAGTGCCAGCAGAGGGTCTGCTGACAAGCAGTGTCCTGGCTTGCCCCAGGACAGTGGCGCTTCCACTGGTTCTTCCTTTCCCTGGAGCTCAGACGTGCTCCTCAGGACTCTGGGGAACAGGCTTTAGCAGGAAGTGGGGATCGGAGGCTAACAGTGGCTGCTGCCCCAGGAAGAGGAGATTGGCCAGCAAGCAGCTGAGGCCTATTCAGGTCTCTGGCACCACAGAGAACAAGAGGCAGGGCCCACTGGGGGCCTTACCCCATTGTGGGGACGGTTTTTTTTTTTTTTTTTTTTTAAAGATAAAATGTTCAGAGCCATAACTGTCTCTGGGTCTTCCTCCCTTTGTGGGCTCCAGGCTGGGAGGGAGGGAACACATTGCTTTGACTAGTAAGGGTTGGGTCAAGGTTGGGTCGGGTATCGGAGCTCCTATAGTTAGGACAATGAGTCCTACTACTTCTACTTGGGCCGGGCCAATGTGTCGTTGGCCGTCCACGCCCACAATCGCGAGGATTTCTCTGGCGAGTGTTAGGAGCACCGGGAACAGGTGCGGCGGGGGCTGTGCGGGAGGCGGTGCCTTTGCTTCCGGTTCCGGTGGGTCTCGGCTCATCTGCAGCTTCAGGAGGGCGGGGGAGATGCTGCCCGCTCCCAGGGGGCGGGCCGGGGCCAAGTTCCTGAAACTCACATTTGCGGTGCGCACCATGGCTGGAGGTACCTGCAGGGGAGACCTGGGATCCGGTCTAGACTAACTTGTGGCCTCAGGAGCTTTCGGAACGCCCCCGGTGGAGGTGCACGCGGAGGGAGGCGCGAAGGGGAGTGGCGGAGGGGTCCTCACGCATCCCCCACCAGGTTGGGGCGCCGCCAGGTGAGGGGGGCCCCGCGGCAGGCGAGCGGGCGGCAGTCCTGCTTCCCTCAAGGCTCGCGTGCCCCTCTCCGCAGAGCCTACGGTCTCGCTCCCTGAACTCCGTTCGCTCCTGGCCTCGGGCCGGGCTCGGCTCTTTGACGTGAGATCCCGGGAGGAGGCGGCGGCTGGAACCATCCCTGGGGCTCTCAACATCCCGGGTACGGGATTGAGGGGGCAGCCCTGGTGGTGGATTGGAGACAGTTTAGGAGGGTCTTAGCCAATAGGACCTCATTTAGGATGATGTGGGAAGGCACAGGTTACAGGGGTCCGGTATTCCTGTGGCTCCCGGCCCCCAAACTTCGCTTGAGAAGGGCTGATGGGAGGCGGATCTTGGCAGCGGAACTGGCCCTTCCAGTTTGAGGGGGTAACAGGCAATGAGGAAGGGGCAGGCCGGATTCACACGCTTGACCTCTCCAAAGCTGGATGCCTGAGTTTGCCCGCCCCTCCTCACAAACTAGGGAAGTGGTTTCCATTCAGAGGTGGTTTGGCTGACCTCCTGGGCAGGTAGGATGTATCCTGTCCTTGAAGTGGGTGGGGGAGGAGTTGTCACCATGTGTTGTTTTGGGGCACCTTGGAGATGTGTTCGACCACAGGACCGGTCCTTCCAGACCCAACCACTGAACCTGAGATTGCCCGACTGCCGGCTTTCCATTGTATCCTCTCGACTCCTCCTCCCAGTTTCAGAGTTGGAAAGCGCCCTGCAGATGGAGCCAGCTGCTTTCAAGGCCTTGTACTCCGCTGAGAAGCCAAAGCTGGAAGAGAATCTCATTTTCTTCTGTCAGATGGGCAAGCGGGGCTTGCAGGCCACGCAGTTGGCCCAGAGCCTTGGATACAAAGGGTATGGGCTTGGTAAGAGGGTGGGGGCGGTGGTGCCTGGGGACTGCCCCCTGGGCTCTGTCCTTCCCTCACCCCTATTTTGTTTTCACAGGGCTCGGAACTATGAAGGGGCCTATAGAGAATGGCTCCAGAAAGAAGGTTAGGTAGAATGTGGCTTACTGAATGCTCCCTCCCCGCTGCCAGTGGCCGCCTTAACTAAGAGTGATGAAGGGGCTCTTGTTGGGTTGAGCAACTTCTTACAGTGCTGTGCATGAAAAGCAGCAAATAAAGAGCATTTAATCGAAGTATTGGAAGCACTTAATTTGTCAGGTGGACTGAAAACAGTTCTAATCATAACCTATACTTCAATTCAGCCTTCGGTCCTTCTTCCAGCATTCACCTGCCCCCCAACCAAAACCAAAACCAAAACACCCAGAAGTTTGCTGAAAGACTATAATCCAGAACCACCTGGTAGCTTAAAAAAAAAAAAAAAAAAAACAACTTGGGCCTCATCTCAGATTTGGTGGGAGCTGGTTTTACAAGGCCCTCAAGTAATTCTGATATGCAGTAAGGAGCCAGAACTAGACCAGAGGTCAGTAAACTATGGCCCCACTTGGTCTTGCTACCATGACCATTTGTTTACACATTGTCTGTGACTACTACTGTGCAAAAATGGGAGAATAGTTGCAACAGAAACTATATGTTCTTTGAAGTATCTAGTCCTTTATAGAAAGTTTGTGTACCGTTGCTCTAGGTCTTCAGGTCCCCAGCCCCAACCTCATTTCCCTCAGACTTTGTCACTGGGTTAAGGAAATGAAATGGTTCTCCCAGGCAGTTGGGTGAAGGAATGGATGCCACCCCCAATCCCAAGCATAGATCACAGGTATGAGGAGCTCCTCATGTGCCACCAGAAAGAGGTCTGAGTTTTTACCAGCACAGTTCCTTGATCCCACAGTAGATTTAACAGAATTTAATTGGTTTAAAAGAAAAACAGAAAGAAACAGCACATACTCACTGAGGCAAAATGCAGCACTATACAGTAGGTATGTAATTTCCCTCTGTCATGGTTCATGGTTTAATGCATATCCTTCCAGACCTATTAAATATTTCAATATCAGAGTTTTTTTTTTTAATTAATTTATTTGGCTGTACTGAATCTTCATTGAGGCATGCAGGATCTTTGGTTGAAGCATGCAAACTCTTAATTGGTACATGTGGGATCTAGTTCCCTAACCAAGGATCAAACTCAGACCCCCTGCATTGGGAGCCAGGGGTCTTAGCCACTGAATCACCAGCTAAGTCCCTGAGTTCTGACTTGTTAAATCTGATTATAAAAAATTTCACTCCTAAAAAAAATTTCACTCCTTAATTTGTGAAAGAGAAGATTGAGTCAAAAGATGGACCCAGTTTTCTGATTTTTCAAGTTTCTGAAATTCCTTGGAGGCATTTCCTATATTCCTTGCCTTTCTCTCACATTTTCCTCTCCCGCTTCTGCCTTTGGGACTGTACCCAGCCCTTATACATCTTTTACTTCACAGTCTACACTGCACACTGCATAAAATCTTCCATTCATATGAGCTCTCCACCTCCCTTCACAAACCCATTTCATTCTCTCCCTGGACTAGTCACAGTACTGAGTTTAGCTGGACATTGTTGGGTTTGGAGATAAACTTGAAATATGTGAAAGAGTCTAGTCTAGGGTCTGGCAAATAATAGATGTCAGTTACTCTTTCCTCAAATACCAAAATTCCTTTGGTTCTCAGACTGGTTGGGAAATTTTTCCTGGGCTTTAATTTCCCTCTTTAAAAATTTTTTTAATTTATTTTTGTCTGTGCTGGGTCTTCATTGCTTTCCAGGGGCTTTCTTTAGTTGCGGTAAGCAGGGGCTACTCTTTTTTGTTGTGTTTGGGCTTTTCTTGCTGGTGGTTTCTGTTGTTGCAGAGCTCTAGTGTGCTCGAGTTTTGGTAGCTGCATCATGTGGGCTCAGGTGCCCTTTGGCATGTGGGATCTTCCCAGCATGCGTGTGTGCTAAGTCGCCTCAGTCATGTCCTACTCTTTGCGGCCCCATGGGCTGTAGCCCACCAGGCTCTTCTGTCCGTGGGGATTTTCCAAGCAAGAATACTGGAATGGGTTGCTGTGCCCTCTTTAAGGGGATCTTCCCAACCCAGGGATAGACCCTGCGTCTCTTATATCTCCTGCATTGGCAGGTGGGTTCTTTACCACTGGTGTCACCTGGGAAGCCTGGGATCTTCCCGGGCCAGGGGTCAAACCCGTGTCCCCTGCATTGGCAGGCAGACTCTCAACCACTAGACTACCAGGGAAGTCCCAAATTTCCCTTGTTGAGTCTCAGCTGTTCTAGTCTTCTTTTATCTTTCCTCAAATTTTATAATTTGATTATAGCATTTCTTTTTTAATGAAGCATAATTTACCTACAATAAAATGCCTTTTTTTTTGTTTTTTGGCATGGCATGTGGGATTTTAGCTTCCCAACTAGGGATCCAAACTGTGCTCTCTGCAGTGGAAGCATGGAGTCCCAACCACTGGATTGCCCCGGGATTCCCGAAAATGCAGTGTTCTTAAGTGTTCACTTCATTGAGTTTTGACAGTTGTACACTTAACTTGAAGCAAGCATCCTAACCAAGATATAGAACACTGAAATCTCCAAAATTTCTCTGGGACCAGTCAATTCCATCCTTAATCTTTTTTTAGACAACCATTTTCTATCTTCTGTCACCTAAACTAGTTTTCTAGCTTCCTTCCTGGTCTGCCAACCTACAATACTTGCTTTCTTCCGATCAGCTGATGAGGGTTAGAGAGAATCCTGGAAGTAAACTGAGCTGACCTACTCCCTGACCATGCCCTCTGGCTTGATCATTGTTAAGAGAACATTCCTCTTTCCCCATCATTAACTGTGTGGGTCATAATCTTGCTGGGCTGGGCCAGCTTATTACCTTGCCCTTTAAGCTTCTCTTTCCCTTTCCTCATAGCTAACTATGTCAGCAGGTGAGGCTGAAGAGCTGGAGTGTGGGGACTTCCCTGGTGGTCCAGTGGTTAAGACTCTGCACTTCGACTTCAGAGAGTGAGGGTTTGATCCCTGGTCTGGGAACTAAGATCCCACATGCTGTGCAGTGCAGCTAAAAAAAAAAAAAAGAGCTGGAGTGTGCCAGCTCTCTGTCTTTGCCTTGCCTTGCTACATCAGACTCCCCTCTCTCATCATACTTTATCTACCCTAGGTTTGTGTTGAGTGTCATCGTATCTATTGCATTACATTTTGGTTGTTTCTCTCAATTGATTATGAATTCGTCAAAGGTAGGAACTGGCTTTCGTTTCCCTACCTCCACTTCGTGGGACTCAGGTTCTCAGTAGGTGTTTGTTGAGCTTTACTAGCCTCCTAACTCTCAGAATCTCCTAATTTCAGTCTCTGAAACGTTGCTGCCTGAGCAACCTTAAAATAACATTTTAATCTTATCAGTCAGAGTTGATCATTTACAATAGGTCCTTGTTGCCTAGTGGCCCAAGCATGTGTCTTGACCTGGCATTCCAAGCAGTCTTTAGTCTGGATCTGGCATCACCCTGACTTTTCAAACACATCTTTCAGTGCCAGCTCCCATCAGGCTAGTTTCTTTAGTGGCCTGAGTAGATCCTCCTCCCTCTGACCCTGGCCTTTACTCACCATTTACCCTGTTTGGGAAGCTTCCAGCCTCTTCTGTGCCACTCTGAGTTTCACAAAAATTAGAAGAATGTATTTAGCAGGATGCTTGCTATCTTCATTTAGAGGACTTTTAAACTGAAGGGAAAGGAAGAAAAATAACCCGATAAAATTATGTAACTGATTCATGAAGGTCAGAGGGAACAGAAGAATGGTGGAAAAGGTACACACTTCTATATAGCACTTATCACACTGTGTTATAATTTATGTGGTTCTTCCCCTTGGACCTAGCTCTTTTTTTAAAAATTGATTTATTTTTGGCTGTGCTGGGTCTTTGTTGCTGCGTGCAGGCTATTTCTAACTGGGGTGAGCAGAGGCTACTTTCTTGTTGCGGTTCATGAGCTTCTCATTGCGGTGGCCTCTCTTGCCGCAGAGCACGGTCTCTTAGGGCTCACAAGTTCAGCAGTCATGGTGCACAGGCTTAGTTGCCCTGAGGCATGTGGAATCTTCCTGGACCAGAGATGGAAACTGTGTCCTTTGCTTTGACAGGTGGACTTCTAACCTCTGGACCACCAGGGAAGTCCTGGACTGAGCTTTTTAAGGGGAGGGACTGTTTATTTCATTTCTGTATGGCCAAGAATGAAACCAGAACTGCATAAAGGAGGTACTCAATAGATGCTGAATTTTTACTGAGGTGTTTAATAATCTAGGGAGGGAAATGCAAGGGGAGAAAATTGGGAGTAATACTCAAGAGTGGTATTACAGCATGTTTTGTAAAGAATCAAGGCTGTGAATCAGAGTTCTGAGTTCCAGTTCTGACTCAGCACTCCTTAGTGGTCATTGCAAGTTACTTTCCAATTCTCACTTTCCTTGTCTATAAAATTGGGGTTAAAAGACTTATCTGTTTGGATGGTTCTGAAAGTTTACTGGAATAACATATGTAAACATATGAAAAGTGCCTGCCATTCAAAATGTGTAGATTTAGAGATGTATGTAAGAATAAACACAACAAGGTAAATAAAATAGCATAGATATAAGTGAAACTTGATGGAAGGGAATTTATGACTGGCAGTGGAAAAGTGTTTTTCTTTTTTTAATATATTTAATGCAAGGGTCAGATAACATAAATGTGCAGCTTGATGATTTTTTATATACTCAAATAACCACTGCTTCTGTTCAGAAAACATATACTGAGATTTGAATCATGTAAACCATGTTGAAACTTGCATTGTAGCCAAGTGTATGGTTGATTTTTGCATATGTCCCATGAACACTTGAAAAGATATATTTTACAGTTTTGAGGTGCAGTGTTCTATATATTAATATATCAGTCCCAGTTTATTAATTATTTTGTTCAAATCTATAGCTCTGCTGATTTTTCTTTTTTTGCCTGCTTATTCTATTAGCTGCTTACAGAGATGTGTTTAAATCTTTCATCGTGATTTGGATTTGTCTTTTCTCTTTTTTTCTGGCATTTTTATTTATATATTTGGAGATGATGTTATTAGATGTTCCA